AGCCCCACAGACGAAGAGCCAGGCCAGGGTGGCTGACAGAGGCCACAGCCTGAACAAATGGCAGCATAAACGGTCATCACAAGCACCCTGGGTTTACCCTAAGAGTGGAAGCTGGTTTTCATGCTGAGGAGCTAGCAGTGAGGCCTGACAGTCCTCCTGATGTGGCCCCAGAGGGAGGGATGGGGTGAGAGAGACCACTGGGTCCTGGCATCTGAAGTGGTGCTTATTGGTCACCAGCACCAGGAGGGAGAGGCAGCCAGACATGCACTGGCAGATGAGAGGGTAAGTAAAGTCCATGTGGTAGAATATTGCATAGCCTTGAAAAGAAAGGCACTTTGACCTCCAGGACATTATATTCAGGGCAATGGGCCAGACCCAGAGGGACAAATACTATGTGCTTCTGCTTGCAAAAGAAGCCTAGAGTCATCAATCTGTGGGGGACAGAAGGAATGAGGGTGACCAGGGACAGGGGGCAGGGAGAGGGAGCCCTGCTTCACAGGGGCAGAGCCCCAGCTTGGCAAGGTGAAGAAGCCCCTGGAGAGGCACACCCAGGAGCTTACTGATCACAGTCTGACACTGGTAGCTGGTGGGTTCCCCTCATCCAGACACGGCGAGCCCTGAACACACAGAGCAGTCCTCGCTGCCCTCCCCACTGGGGTCCTGCTCAGCACTGTCAAGTTTTGTTCCTTAAAATGGTAGAGCAGGGACCCTGTTATAGCCACAGAAGCCTCAGGAGCCCTGACCCTTGGTCCTATGCCCTGGATAGAGCTGGGGACCTGAAGGACGTGAGGGTGGGCCCCGGGGATTGGAGCAGAGTGTGGCGTGAGCTCCGTGCTGGGCCAGTGCAGGGGCGGGGGTGCCAGCACTGTTTGCCCATTTCTCCACAGAGCAGGCACTTCTACAGCATCCTACAGGAGGGCTTGCTTTAGATGCAGATGAGGGACAGCAAGTCGCATCCCCGCCCCCTGGGCACAGCACGCTTGGAGCCGCTGCAAGGGATGCAGCTGGGACTCTAGGCTGCTCAGGCCAAGGCTGTTATTTAAATGAGAGGCATCTGCCAGAGGAGTTGGGGAGGTGATGGTAGGAGCTGGCGGGGACCCGCACTTTGGGGTGCTCCAATTGCCATAGTAATAAAGGACTTAGCAAGCAAACAAGCTGGCTGCTGGGAGGCTGAGGCAAGAGGGTTGCTCTGAGTTTGAACTGCTCAGAGGGAGCCTGTCTCAAACACAGACCAGGAAGCAGCTCTCTGCATGGAGGCCAAGGCTGGCTCCAGTGGAGGAGCTGGAGAACCCTGCACGGCACCCCCACTAGCCCCCCCAGGGCCCCTCTCACCAGGAAGCCACCAGCTGCAACCCTACCCTAGCTCTGGCCGCTCTGTAGCTCTGGAAGCCCAGCTGTCAGGCTTCCCTTCCTCAGAGGCTGGATAGGGACCCAGCAGGGTGTGGCCCTTGGACCCCAGCTGACCTTGCCTCCCCTTGGGTGTTTCCTAAAAACCCCTGCTTGCTTGGTCCGGTGGCTCACTCTGGTCCTCCTGGCTCCCAGCTGTGCCTCAGCTTACCCCTCTGCATCAGGCAGTCTACACCTCCCCCTCAGGCCCTGTGCATGCTACACACCTCCAAGTGCCCGTTCTCAGCCGCATCGTGCAGCGGGGTCCCGCCCCAGGAGTCCCTGGTCACCGGGGCACCCAGGAGCAGCAGCCGGTCCAGGATGGGTGTGTGGCCACCACGGGCTGCGAAGTGCAGGGCTGTGGCACCCTCGTTGTCCCTCGCTGTCAGGCCTATGTCTGTGAAAGTGACCTGCCAGGGGCAGGCTGGGTGTCATGTGGGCTGGGTCCTCGCCCCTCCTGCCTTTGCCCAGCACCTGATCATGCCAGTCGTGAGGCTCAGCCTGGTGGACCTAGCCCCTGCCCTGCAGAGTGTCCTGCTGGGCACTGTGGACTGGGGAGGGGCAGCGCCAGGCAAAGTGCGGAGTGCTCAGCTGGCCAGGCGCCTGCGCTGGGCGAAGGGAGACACAGGGCCTCACCTAGGCACAGGCTGCAAGGAGCGGGGTCAGGAGAGGGTGCGTGAGGCTGAGTGGGGGGGGGGCTCTCCCCTCTGCTCCCTGGCAGCCAGAGTGACTTCTTGTGGGTTGTTTATTTTTGTTGTTGTTGTTTTGTTTGGTGGGTTTTTTGGTTTTGTTTTGTTTTTCGTCTTTTTGAGACAGGCTCTTGCTCTGCAGCTCAGGCTGGACTTGAACTCACTTTGTAGCCCAAGTTGGTCTCAAACTCCCAAGGATCTTCCTGACTCAGCCTCCCAAGTGCTGGGATTACAGGCATGCGCTACCACACCCAGCTCTGGTTTTTGTGAGATAGGGTCTCATAATGTAGTTCAGACTGGCCTTGAACTCCCGATCTTTGTGGCTCGGCCTCCCCAGTGGGAGGGATCTCTGGAATATCAGGCAGCTCTGGCCCCGTTTCCTCTATGGCGCCTAGTGCCTAGGGGAAGACCCTTGGTCCCTCCACCCCAGGGTCTGCTGTCCTTCCCACCCCGGCTTCGACCGGGGGACCTGCCCTTCTGGGGGAGGTGTGCCCTCCTCCTGGGAATGCCTGGCCCTTGCTGGCCCCCAACCGCTCCTCCGCTGGCTTCAGCCACGACTGCTGAGGCACAGCAGAGCCCTGAGCCCAAGCTGCCCAGAGCCCACCGCCCACTGTCCTACAGGCACCCGGCCCACTCCCAGGCCACTTACCAGCCAGACGACCAGGGAGTAGTGGCCGCGGGCGGCAGCTGCGTGCAGCGCGCTCATGCCGTCCAGGGCACGCAGGTGCACGTCGGCACCGCAGTCCTTCACCAGGAACTGGGCCAGGTGCAGGTGTCCCTCCTGGCAAGCCAGGTAGAGTGGGGAGGCACCGCTGCGGGTCCGCCGGTTCACACCACTGCAGGGGTTTGCAGAGGGGCATGGTCAGGGGTGCCAAGGTTACCCGTTTGCGTCCACTTCCCCATCTGGCAGGGACTCCGGTTGGCACGGCCGGCATGGACTCGTCCCTGATGAAGACACCCTTCTGTCAGGTCTGCCCCAGGTAAAGTCCAGCCAGGTCCCCAGTGCCCGGCAAGCAGCTGCAGGGAAGCCAGACTCCTGCCCAGGGCAGTCCTCTCTCTGGTGCTGCCAACCCCAGTGCCGACCCTGCCCCTCACAAGCTGAGCTTGAGCCCCACCAGCCCCTGTCAGTGCTCTAGGCACAGGTGACCACACACGTGTCCCCTTCCCTCTGTCCTGACCAGCCCAGGGCACAGGTGTCAGCCATTTTAGGTGCGAGAAGATTGTACGATCTGGGACCAATTCCAGGCTCTCGACCACTCCTGGGGAGACACAGAAGTGACCAGCACTGCCCCAAGGGCATGGCCCACAAGGCGGCTCTGTCCCCACGTCTGCAGTCTGCTCCCACAGAAGTGTTCACAGGGCCAGGGGCTCTGTGGCCTCTCCGTGGGACGCAGGGGAGAATAACGCATTCCTGAACATCCCGCCAGCCACAGCCACACAGGACAGTGCCCATTAGTGCTGGGGCCACCCCAGAGATCACTTTGGCCACTTGGTTGTGGGGACATCAGTCCCAGGCTCCAACTGGCAAAAGGGGTAATTGAGGCCCAGAGCAGAATGATTGCTTGTGGGGACTGGGGTGGCCCCCAAGTAGACTCTGCCCCTTGCCAGGTGGACACGGGACCCGGCCTGGCCCCAGCATGAGCAACTCTTTCTCAGAGCCTGAGGCCTCTTGGGTGACCTCATTGTCCTCCTCAGGAGCCTGCTCTGCTGGGGCCAGGACCCACTGGGATGACCAGATCCAGTGCAGCAGCACATGCTCTGCTCCTACAGCTGTGGCAAGCTACAGGGGCAGGCATGGGGCCCTCCTGCTGCGTGCACATGTGTATACTATGCGCACACTTGCACATGTGTGAATGTGCGCATGCATGTGAGGGTATAAAAGTCGCCTGGTTGTACCCCCAGAAGTGGTTTTGAGATGGTCAGGCCTGAGCGCTCTGCCACACTCCAGAAACTTCTGCCAGGCAGTCCTGGGGTCTGATGGGTAACAGACACCATGCCACCACGAAGCCATCAGCTTGTCCTAGGGTCAGCATGGGAGGCCTAGGTGCCGAGACAGGACAGCCTTGCTTGGGACAGGTGAGGTCAGAGGCAGGCAGGTCCAGGGGGAAGGCAGGAGACCCTCCTGAACCTGTCTCTTCAAGGCCTGTTGCTATGCCAGCAGCGATCTGAATGTAAAGCAAGGCCAGAGAGCGGCATGTGGTGGGAAGGCCCTGCCCCGGCCCCTGGGCTGTGGGCCTCCCTTCTTCCTGTCCACCAACACCAGCCCAGGCTGTGAGGCCCAGCACGGTGGTCAGGACCCTGCGGGGAGGACCCAGACCTGACTGGGGCCCCCACAAGTCCACAGTGAAACAGTGCCTGTCCTGGTGGTGCTTGGTGCCCACCCTCCCAGCACTTCCTGCTGAACCATGTCCTGGTGCCCACACTGCCCCCTGAAGTCCCCTTCCTCCAGCAGCTCTCACCTGCTGTGGGCAGCAGCCAGGAGCTTCAAGCAGGTGAGGTCCCCACTGACGGCTGCATGGTGCAGTGGCAGGGCACCCTCCAGTGTCTCCAGCGTGGCCATGTGGCCCTCCTGCAGCAGCCACTCCACGAGTGCAGGGTGTCCGAAGCGGGCAGCCAGGTGCAATGGGGAGACACCCGAGGCATCTCGGTCCTACCGAGGCCCAGGTGGGCCATGAGCAGTGCAGGGCCAGGCCCACCCTGCTGGGTAGCACCCATGTGACCAGAGCCAGTGGCACCTGTTAGGATCCTAACCCCACAGGACCATCGCTGCTGGCAGGAAGTGGAGGCCAGGAATCACCCAGGCTGGGCTGAGGCTGCACCCTGGGGTCCTGCCAGGCTGACCACACATGGTCAGAAAGTATCCACGTGGCCTGAGGTGCTGGAATAGGTGTCTGCGATTCCACCTCTGGGCCTGCTCCCTCCCCCTCCCAACACAGGTCCCATGGTCAGGGAGTACCCCCAGCTACTGAGCCACACCCTGCTTTCTGAATCTTTCTGGACTCTGAGAAGAGGCCCAGCAATTGGGTCTGGTTGGGGACCCCCACCACTGGCCCAGGCAGAGGGCCCAGGGCACCCAAGGTCTGACCTTCAGGCTGGTCTCTCGCCTGCCTGCTGGGCTCCACTCACCTGCAACCCACAGCCTCCATTGAGGACCAGCCAGCGCAGCTCCGCCAGGTGGCCAGTGGCCGCAGCATCATGTGCTGGGGTGGCCCCGTTCTGGGCCTGCTGGTTGCCGGGCAGCTTGGCCTGCTGCACCAGGAACCGGACGCAGTCCAGGTGGCCAGCGCGGGCAGCGTGGTGCACAAGCCCGGCCCCCAGATTGTCAGCAATGCCAGGGCTCAGCTTGCCGGCCTCCAGCAACAGCTCCAAGGTGGCCACATCCCCTCCCTTGGCAGCCACCAGTGCCTGCTGCTCCTCCATTCTCCAGCTCTTGGTGGTGGTGGTGGTGGTGGCGGCGGCGGCTCATGTCCAGGCCTGGCTGGGCTTCCTGTTTCAGGCGTGGACGCAGCTGTCGGCTCTGGTTACCCGATAAGCAGCACACGGGGCAGATGGGAGATGGCACAGGGTGGGGGTGGGGGGCAGACCCGGGGGACCTCAGGGCCCCACCTAGCCACTCCTGTAGCACCCTGGGGGCCAGATGCAAGGAGCTGCAAGTGTGGGGCACCAGTCCTGGGGACGTGGCCATGTGGTCCATGCCAGGGGTGGACACAGGCCAGCCAGGGGAGGCCGCCCCTGCCTCGGTCCATGGTTTGGTGGCTACAGCCTGTGCCTCAGGGTAAAGCCACCACCAGGGGACCCAGCTAGGTTGGGGAGGGGCTCCAGTTACAGCTGCAGGTGCCCAGCTTGCTGATTCTGCTGCCTTCCGGGCACTGCCCTGGGACTGGATTCTCCTGGGTGGTGCAGGCCACAGGCCCGCAGGATAGTGCTATCACCTGGGCAAGGAACCCCACATGCCTGTCTCTGCTGCTGCATCCTAGTCCTCGGCTGCCTGAAGCCCTGGCCCACCCTCTAGCCCCAGAAGGCGGGCATGGGGCCTCTTGCCCAGCTGGACTGTGAAGTGCCACTGTCCCCTCCCCAGGCAGTTCAGACAGAGCACAGGGTGTCCACGCAGACAGAGACCTTTATTAGTCACTCAGCCATATGCTGGATGCCGCTGCCCCAAGCCTTGAGACCACACAAGACCAACATCATTCCCAGAAATCCCCATGAGGACTGGCTTTGATGGGGATGAAACACGGCTCATGAAGATAACCTCTGGGAACAAAATTAGGTCAAAAGAGTTGGGGTGATCTGGTCTCCCACCTCAGGAGTGAACAAAGGCATCCTGGAATGGATGAGGCCCTCAGGAGGGTGGCCATGGGCCAGGCAGGGTGCAGGAAGGGCAGTGGCCACCACCGGGCGGTCTGTGTACGCTGAGGTTGCAGGAGGGCATGGTAGGGCTGCTGGGGACCGAGTCTGGAGAGGGCTCAGGAGGGCCCCAGGGGCTCCACTGGCAATATGCACTGTTTGCAGTGAAGTTGTTTCCTATGTTTCTTTGTTTTTTTTTCCAGTACTGTGTTCACATGTTGGGCAGGTGCCCTACGCCTGGGCTGTACCCCAGCCCTTATTAAAGCAGGGTTCTAGGCCGGGGAGATAGCTCAGTGGCATAAGTGCCTGCTGGGTAATTACAAGGTGCTGAGTTTTAAATCCCAGTACCAAAAATAAAATCCAGCAGGGTTTCACTGAGCTGCCCAGGCTGGCCTCCATGGCCGCTGGGATCCACGCCACTGCACTGCCACTTCCTGTTCTTGGGGCCACATCTCGCTGGAGGACAGATTCTAAATTCATGGATTTGATCTTTGGGGTAAAACTCCACCTTCTGGAAAGGGCACTCAGGACAGGCCCACTGTTGTGCGAGGAGGGGATGTGGCTCTGGTGTTGGTGGGTGGCCAGGCAGGTGGCAACACCACCTCAGACCCCAGCTAGGCTGTGGGCACAACAGCCCCGGGGTGCCGGGCGGGTGCCTGCTAGGCCTGCCCCTCCAGCCGGGCCACTGCCTGCTTCAGGTCCTGCACAGCGAGGTCCACGTCAGCCCTGGTGGTGCTGCGGCCCACGCTGAGCCGGAGTGCATTCCTGGCCACATCAAGGGGGACTCCGCAGCTCAACAGCACCGGGGAGGGCCTGGGGGTACAAACGGTGTCCACTGAGACACAGGGAAGGGCCTAGGCACAGGACTCGCTGCCCCTGCTCTCTCAGCCAGTGCTCGCCAGGGCCGTGTGGGTCCAGAGACCCTCTCCCACCCTCCCTCCCCCCACCCCTGCTGCCGGCCTGCTGGGACCTGAAAGCCCCCCACACCCCTGGCCCCAGTGCTGCCCTACAGAACTACCACCAAGGGTTGGGCAGTGGAGTCTGGGAGACACCACCAGAGGGGTGCCCCCTCCCCACCCCTCCTGCGCTGTGCTGCCCCGTCTCTTCTCCATGGCTGATTCTGCAAGCCCTGAGCCACTGGTCAGGCCATGCTGGGCCTCCTGAGAACTTCCTCACTGGAGAAGTGGCTCCTTCTGGGTCCTCCTCCCAGGGTGGAGTTGTAAGGGGCGCATGGCGTGCCGCACAACCCCGCCCAGTCAGCAGCAGGCCACGGCATACTCACCGGTGCCCCTGGTCCGAGTGGCATGAAGCCCCCACACTGGCCAACAGTGTTCGGCACTGCGCAAGCACCAGAGAGCCTGTGAAGACAGCATCACCAAGGCCCATGGCCAGCCCTGGAAACCCCTTCCCCCCATCTTCCGGGCCACAGGAGCCCCAGCACAGCAGGGAGCATTCAGCAGAGTCTCTGGGGCCACCACCCTGCCTTGTCAACCCAGGCTGAACATGGCACTTCAGAAGGTGACCTGAGGCCCCAGGGCTGGAGGCCGGGCAGGATGCCCCCTCCTCCTGCTGTGGGGTGCAGCTCAGCGCTGCTGCAGGAACACAGCCACCTCAGTCAGGCTGAGAGTACCACAGGCACCCCCAACTGGGTGAGGATGGAGGGTGTGGTCCCTCCACATGGGAGGCCTGTGGCGAGGGCAGGAGCCCCGCTTTCTCCTGGTCACAGGTCACACTAGCACCAGGGGCTTCCTGAGCTCCCACAGGATGCTGGGACCTCTTCGGGACCCAAGACTCGCAGAGCGTTCTTTCCTGGGCCACAGCCACCATCCAGGGGACCTGGGGGCCTGGCCTGTGGCTGGAGAGGGTTTCAGCTGCTCCTGCAAGGTCACAGCTGGCACCTTTTCCCTCGCTGCGAACCAGCTGTTGGAACCACCACCTCCAGTCCCCTCCTCTCACAACTGCCCCAACCTGTGGCCAACTGTACAGGCTGCTTGAGCTGGGGCGTTGTGTTTTTTCCTCCACAGTTCACATCTGGCCTGTGACCTGAGCTCTGTCCCCTCTCTTGGCTTTGGTGGACAAGCTGACCCTGGGACAAGCCAGCTCTCAGGCACTGGCTGGACCTGAACCCAAGTCCACGGAGGAGAGACCTGGCTGCATGGTCACCTTGGAGCTGAGGGCCCTGGATGGAGAAATTGCAGGTGTTGGGAAGACGCTTAGCCCCCGGGAAGCGGCTGTTCAGATGGATTTTCTTCCTGCCAAATTCAGCCTGAAAAATCAAAAGGAAACACTGAGTGTCGGCACCCAAGACGTCCTTCAGGGCAGGGCTGAGCCCTGACCTCCTAGCTCTCCAGGCCCTACAGGCTCCTAGTCCCCAAGAGGTCCCCAGGCTCAGGCCCCAGCCAATCACCTCCAGCCTCTCTTCCAGGTAGTCGCGGACGTCCTGCATATGGGCCTCATAAGCCTCACAGTTCTCGGTTACCAGCTCAGCGGCCTGGGGACACAGAGGGGCCTGTTCAGTTCTTATGGGGTCCTGCTGGCCAGCGCAGAACCACACACTTGCTGAGAGCCACCACTGCTGCCACTGCTGGCACCACAGGGACTCAGCATCAGGTGCTGCCAGACGCTGCCACGAGAGGGCCCTAAGTATTCCACTCCCTGGGCCACGTGTGCTCCAGAGAGGGACACGGGGACTCTGGAGCACCCACATTGGGACAGGAGCTGTAGGCCACACAGCTAGAGCCACACCAGTGACTTAGTGACATCATCATGGCCACTGTGTAGAGGACAGCGGTGGCCTAGGATACCACAGCAGCCCCCCTTTTGTTCTGGAGCCTGCGTCAGACGCATGGGACAAGGACAGGGAGGAGCTGGTGGTCCCCGAGGACTGCCCGGTGAGGATCTGGAGGGAGGGCAGGCCTGGATGGGCTGGGCTGGAGGAAGTGCCTGCGTGGCAGCAACAGCAGACAGGATATCCCGCCCCAAGCGGGTGGTGCTGCAGTCAGGGACAGATGTCTGTGTGCCTGTCTACATTGAGGTGTTCCCAAGGGGCAGGTCGACGGCAGAGCTGCCAGCAGGTGCCAAAGGCAGAGAAGGACTGGAGTGAGCCACAGTGGGGAAACTGGAAAGGGGGTGGGGTGACTGATGAGGGCCAGAGGGGGAGGCGGGGGCTGGGGATCACTCCCTGAGTGGGGCTGTGGCCAGGGCTCCAGGAAAGTGTGGGGTGGGGCTCACGCTGCAGGTGCACCAGCATGACAGGAGGCTGGCTGGGGTAGGTGCTTCCCATTGGCAGCCTCAGGAGGGACTGGACCCCAGGCATAGTGGGCGGAGCCTCTGGTCAGGCCTCAAGCCCAGGGATGCCAAAGCTGGGGTCTTACTGCTCCATCTCACATGCCCCCCCCCACCCCCACCAGCCTCATCCATCACAATGACACCAGAAGCAACAGGCCAGCGAGTGAGGGTGGTGGCTGGAGTAGGGCATGGCCAGGGTGCTCAACCACCAGCACCCCCAACCAAATCTGCTCCAAGGTGGAGGGTGTGACACAGTGGCTGATGGCAGGGAATTGGGGTGTGGGACAGTGGCATTGGGAGGGCAGCCTGGGCTTAGGGGGCACAGCCTGACCTTTCACCACTGTCGGTGTGGCCCTGCTGGTGGGCAACAGGACACAGGGCTGAACTTGGCATGGTGGCCTCTCATGCCACAGAGCCCTGAGGACTGCGCTGAAGGGGCAGGGACAACGCGCCATGGGTCTGTGCGTGCCAAGCACAGCGCTGCTGTCCATCAGAAGAGAATGGCACAGAGACAGTTTTCTTTCCCCTGTTTTTTGGCAGTACTGGGGCTAGAACTCAGGACCTCTTCTCTGAGCTGCACCCCCAGCTCGTTATGAGACAGGGTCCCACTGAATGACTAGGTCACTAAGTTCCCCATGCTGGCTTCTTCCCACCTTGGCCTCCCGGCTGACCCATGTGCGGTTCTCAAGGCCCAGAGGGAAGCCCAAGGCTCTCCTTGTCCACCATCCTGGGGCCTGAGCCTGCTCCCCCAAAGCCAGGGCCCCACCAGCGCTGCAGGGCAGGGCTACAGCTTACCTTCCCAAGGCCAGCGATCATCGGGGTGTTCTCCGTCCTGCAGGAGACAAGAGGTGGGGTGGAAGACATCCAGGGAGGGGTCCTGTCCCTGGTAAAGAGCCCACACTGCCCTTCCTGCACAGGCACCACCAGCGCTCCTCTGTGGCCACTCCAGAGCCCACCCGAGGGCAACACAGGCTGGTGCGGAAGAGACATTCTGTCAGGACCCTTCAGCACCTGAGCACCCTGGACAGGGAGCAGCATGGGGTACTCACACCTGACGCTGCACCCCAGGCCCTCGAGCAGGCAGGGGGAGAGAGGCGCTTGCCTGAGGGACCACACGCATGTGCAGGGGCAGGTGCTCCTGCGCCGTCATCCACCACACGGAAGCCCACAGCCTTCACTCGCAGACACGAACATCCACACTTCCTTCATTCTGAGTTTGGACAAGAGCCCTGGCTGCTCCATGTTGGCCAAAAGGTGACCTTCCCCCATGTCCTGTGTCCCCAGCACTGGGTCACTCATCTCCTTAGCCCTTCTAACAGCCGACAGTGCTGTGGCCTGACCTGAACTTCCCAAGCGAGGATGCCCACCAGCTTCTCTGGTGCTTCATCGCTGACACATCTGTCAGTTATCTCCTGCCCACCGACTATTTTCCGAGTTCTGCATCTACCCTCCTGGCTAGTCTTTGTCAGGGCTGTCATTTGCAAATGTCCTTTCAATAAGCCCTTCACAAAGCGAGTCCTACCCAGACTTACGATGCACGGCACTTCTGTGTCGGCCAAGGCCGCTCCTGCCGTAGGTCCTCACATGCCCTGCTGCCCTGCTGATTCAGCACCCTGGATCCCTCTGTCAGGTTTTTGTTTTTGAGACAAAGTCTTGCTATGTAACCTGCACGGGCCTTAAATTTGAATTGATCCTCCTGCCTTAGCCTCCTGAGCACTGGGATTACAGGTGTACGCCACCAGGTACTGCTTCCTGTTATTTTTTAAATTTTATTTTACTTTTTGATATAAGGTCTTCCTACACAGCTTGGACTCTAGTGATCCTGTCTCAGCATCCTCAGTGCTGGGGTTGCAGGTGTGCGGCACCATGTCTAGTTTCGGGATTGAACCTGTGTCCTTGCGCTTGCCAGGTAGGAGCTTAGACCACTGAGCTATCTCCTGGCCCTCCCTCAGCTTTGCTAGAGGCCTGTCAGTGTTACTGAATCCTTGCCCCTGCCTTTCCACGTAGTGGGCCTGAGCTGTTGCACACTTGTCCAGTGCTCCATGCTGACCGGTCCCAACAACAATTTCCCCACTTTACCCCCAAAGAGCCAGCTGTGCTTCGCCGATTTATTTTGCCTTTGGTGTTGTCAACCTCGCCCGTTTCTGCTCCTGTGCTCTCCCCTTTGCTCCTGCTGCTGTCCCTTTCCTGGGTGCTGTGGGCAGGAGCCGAGTCTGCCTGAGGTGCACCTGTTCCCCACCCTACCCCGGCTCATGTCCCTCTTGGCACTGTTCAGCTGTGTCCCCAGCCCCCAGCAGGCTGTGCTGCTTTATTTTATTTCATGTTTGTTTGTTTGTTTTTTGGTGCTGGGAATCAGACTCGGAGGCTCATGCCTCAGGCGCAGTGCCACGGCACTATACTCCCAGCCCAGGCTGTGCTGTCTCAGTCTGCATCCGTTCAACGCACTTGATTTTCTTGAGACTTCCCTCTGACTCCTATTACTCCCAGGTGTGTGGCTTGCGTCCATGTTCAGGCAATCTTCTTATTATCTGCTTCCACAGTGGTTGGAGAACAAATCGTGGGGTCTGATGTAGACTGAAGTGGAAGCCAAAATAAATTCGCCCTTCCCACTGCGGGGGCGGGGGGTACTGCGGCCCGGCCACGGGCAAGGGCCTCGACACCAGGAGCCACCACCGTGAGGTGCTCGGGTCACCCTCTTGCGGCAGCCTCTGTCCGAGTGGTGCTGCCACCAGTGGACCCCACCTGCACCTCCGGGTGTAATGTAATGGGATGCAGGGGTGGAGAGAGGGACCCGGTGTTCTGCAGGGCGGGGCGCAGCAGCTGTGACGTCCACGTGCCCAGAATAACACACACCGGGTTCCCGGAGCAAGTGAGGCAGGAGGCGTGTGCCCACAGCTGAGTGTGATCCACCCACAGCACAACTTGGACTCAGTGGTGACCCGCGCCATGCCCTTACGGTGCCACCAAGAGATAGTGAAATGGCAAGTGTCACTGCTCTCTGGACACGTGCACGGCAGCAGCTCAGAGACTGTCAGCGGGTACCTACCCTGGCCTGAAGTTCCGCTCCTGTCCACCTCCAAACAGCATGGGGTACAGCGGCGTCAGCTTGCCCAGGCCTCGCACATAAAGGGCCCCAATCCGTGGGCCATAGAACTGGAGGGAAACAGTGGTCGTGGCTGAGAACCTTCTGGGGACCTGCTTGGTTTGCAGGCTAAGTCTCAGAGTGCGAGGATGACACACTCTTGGAGCTCCGCCCTCGGCTTCCTGCCACCCCTTGGCTCGAGGTGGCCGGGGCTGTGGCGGCCTGCGGGCAGGTGCGGACTCTCCCACCAGCTCTGCGGTGCACTGAGCTCCCCTGCATGCTTCACAACTGTGTACAGAGAGGGCTTGGGACTTGAGACCGGACAGGCTGCTGCCCATGTGAGTCGGCATTTCCAGCGAGGCCATGTAAAACTCTGACCTTCGCTGAGGACTGTGCTTCAGAGCAGCCAGGCCGGGTGGGCAGCACCTCGAGTCCCACACTCTGGAGGCTGAGGCAGAGCACTGCCAGCTTGGGCTACATACTGGCACTTTGTCTCTAAACAACCCAACCAAATAAAAAACCAGCCCGTGCTCATCAGCTGCCAGAAAGATGAGCAGAAGGCTCAAGGGTCTGCACCTCCCAGATGAGAGCCACCCCATCAACACAGCTGCATGAGGAGCCCCACATCCACCAAAAATTTCTCTTCTTTTTTTGTCTTTTTGAGGCAGGGTCTTGCAGTTCAGGCTGACCTTGAGCTCACTTTGTAGCCCAGGCTGGTCTTGAACTTGCAACTATTCTCCTGCCTCAGCTTCCCAGTCCCAGTGCTGGGATTACAGACATGTGCCACCACACCTGGCCCCACCAACAATTTCTTAAGCCCTGTCTGTGACACACCAGGGTTGTCACCTGACCCATGGAGGGCTCTGCCTTGAACACGATCATCTCACACCCTGCTGCTGTGCTACACTAAAGCTCCTGAGCACGGGGTGGAATGCACTGTCACAGCAGACATTTGGGGAATGGGGTGCTGTAGACCCTGCTCTGCGGTGGCCTCTGCAGACCCACCTTGTGGCCCACGATGGTCAGAAAGTCCACACCCAGCTCTTCCACATCCACGCGCTTTTTCCCCAGCACCTGCGCAGCGTCCGTGTGCATGAACACGCAGGGCAGCCCCGAAGCCACACGCCTCTGGTTCAGGGCTTTCAGGCGCTGGCTAATCTCAGAGACGGGCTGTGGGGGACAAAGGGCTGAGTATGCACATAGGTGGAAGGGGTAAGTGAGGAAATGGGCCCTGAGGACAGACAAAGCACTGCAGAGCTGAGCAGAGCAAAGGCCCGGGCCACTCCACGGCCGAGAGGGACACAGCTCACCATGACCACGCCGGTCTCATTGTTGGCCAGCATGATGGTCACGAGGCATGTGGAGGGGCGCACTGCAGCCAGGATGTCATCGGCCTCTGCCTGCCCACTTGTTGTGGACACGGGGACGAAGGTGACCTCTAGGATGCAAAGGACACAGATCAGCACCATGCACACCCATGGCCCCCCACTGTGTCATTTCCACAACTGTAGACAGTCATTTTCAACATCAGAAAAGTGTAAGGAAAAAGCGCAAGCTACTGTCGACCTGGGCGGGTTGCAGGCCACCAGCAGCCACAGGTCAGAGCCTCCGTGAGGTCCACAGCACACGCTCACTCAGCTGCACCCAGGACGAAAAAGGAGCTGGAGAAATCAGGCCCACACATGCTGCCCACGGAAAGCGAAGTGATGCTGCGGCTCCGGCAACAATGGTGACAGGAATCATAGTCATCCTGCCACTAGCCAATGTCACCATACAACCCAGCAATGATGCTCCTGGGTACAACCGCCAAAGAAAGCACAAACACGCACAGAAACTTTAACACAGTCAGGCATGCGGGTGGTGCAGGCAGCCCCAGCTTTTCAGGAAGCTGAGGCAGGGGTCAGGGCCAGCCTGGCCAGCAGAGCGAGGCCAAAAAAGGAAATGACCCCCATGGCCACCAACCGATGGAAGGGCAAGCAACCGAGGCATGTTCATACAAGAGGACTCCACTTATCTATAGAAGGACAGCCACCTGCCCTCACTCACCGGCCACCTGCTCCTCCACCAGATGCTCCAGCGGCAGACGGACAGAGTCATGCTCCACGGTGCAGGTGATGATGTGGGGCCGGGCCCCCTTCCCGGGGCTCTGCTGCTCCCCAGGGGCTCCCTTGGGTCCCTGGGTTTCCTGGAAGTGCTTCACTGCTGAGTGGATCACGAGGTTATTGGACTGCAGAGACAGCAGAGAGCGCGCTGGCAAGAGGCCTCGCCCTCGCATGCGTCTCCGGCGCCCCAGCACCAAGACAAAGGCCAGCCTCAGAGAACGACAGCCAGGCCTGCTCTGTCGCTAAGCACCCTAGAAGCTCCGGCAAACACCATGTTGCCTTGGCCTGCGGTGCTGGCTCGGAGGCTCAGCCAGTGCCTGAGCTCCCAGTACCCAGTAGATGGTTCAGTCGAAAGGCCGTGCATCACCCATGAGCACCAAACTCAGCCTGAGGACCAGGACCCAATCTTGTATCACTGAACTGGACAGATCTGGAGCTGCTGAGTACCAAGGTGTGACTCAGGACTCTTTCCTGAGAAGGTAGCAAACATGATCCACCAGCAGCAGCCTACAGGGTGTGCAAGGGGTGTTTGCCTCCAGCAGGGGAGGAGGGAGGGGGAGGGGCAAGCGCAGCTCTCACAGCTACCACTCCCTGCAGCTGTCCTGGGGCTCACCCACACCCCACCTTCCTGCCCCTCCCTGCAGAGCTCAGCACCCCAAATTGCCACAGGCAACATTTCCTTGCTTTCTTTCTGCTTTTACTTCCCAGGAGAGCCTCCCTAAAGGACAGGGGTTGGTCTGGGTTTGATCTTTGTTTTTGTTTTTTGAGATAGTATCTCACTATGTAGCCCAGCCAGCCTTGAACTCGATCCTCCTGCCTCGGCTCCCGCATACTGGACAGGTGTGCGCATGGGTTTGATTTCATATATGTGAAGATCAAACCCAATTTTCTTCAAAGTTTAAGATCCAGTCTATTCAAGGAGCACAGATCCCAGGGTGGAGCTTGCTGATGCCGCTTGGTGCCAGGTCCCTCCCGCTTGCCAGGCTGCATCCTGAGACCACTCTGTCACCTGCAGTCTGTCCAGTGTATCTGCGGAGGGGCTGGGATGCCAACGTGGGTGCATGGCAGGTCTGTGAGGTGACACGGGGCCAGTGAGGGCGACAAAGGTGTTCTTACAAACGTGAGGGCAGCTTCAAAGGTCAGGTCTCTGCCCAGCAGGAAACACACTCTGGAGCCAGATGTGTGGCGCACACCTGTAGTCCCAGCGCTTGGGAGGTTTAGGCAGGAGGATTGCTGGGAGTTTCAAGCCAGCCTGGGCTCCACAGTATGATCAGGGCCAGCCTAAATTACAGAGCAAGTCCCTGTCCTAAAAATCCAAAGCCAAAACCAAACAGAACACCATTCACCCCCACCCCGCAAAAAAAAAAAAGAAAGGAAAAAGAAAAAGAAAAAGAAAAAGAAAAAGAAACACCTCATAGGAAACAGCCCCACACAGTGGCTCTGGGTCCAGAACAGCAGGGCCTTGAAGATCCAGGGGGCTGTAGCGCCCTAAAATCCCATAGAAGGGTCCTCTGATCACACAGGGCCAGCGCCCACAGCAGATGCCACACAGAGAGGACCCACGTGGCAGTGGCACATCCTTGTCCTATGCAGGCTGTGCTTGCCCTTGCCCAATGGCGCCCCGAGGAGATGCTTAGGAGTGGGGCTGCCAGGGACGCGCATGGTGCAGGGTGCACTGCGCATGCCCAGGAGGGCTGTGTGGGAGCCGGCGGGGGCTCAGCAGGCCTCAGGAGACATCAGCAGGCCTGAGCTGCCCATGCCACCGTGTCCTGCCCATCCCAGCAACACTGCACAGCATTCAGACCAGGTGTCCCGACCCTGACGCTGGGCAGAGGGGTAGTACATGCCTACGTCCCTGCCCCCAGGTAGCAAATACCTCCTGTCAGCTCATCTTCCTGCCTTCCTCTCAGGCTCTGCACTTGGCCTACTTTTTTTTTAAAATCTTTTATTTATTTGGTACAGGGTCTCACTACCCAGTTTGGACTCAGTGATCTTCCTGTCTCAGCCTCCCCAGTGCTGGGATTATACGCATGTGCCACCATGCCTGGTTTTGGGGCTGGCTCTGAGCACCTGGAGTTCTGGGCTGGCATAGTATGTGATACGGGGGAATCAAATCCGGGTCCTTGCACTTGCCAGGCAGGTGCTTAGATGGCTGAGCTATATCCATGGCCTGGTCTAGCTAGTTCTGCTGCTTTTGTGTGACAGAACTCAGGGCATTGCCCTTGGTGGCGAGTGCTGTCTACCCTGAGAGAACCGTCACTCTGACACATCCCCAGGATCACCAGGGTAGAACCTCGGTACCCCCCAGGTTTAAAAATTCACTTTCCACAACCTGGTCCTTCTTCTGCCTGCAGTTACTGCTGAGCGAAGGGCCCTGCCCAGCACCGTCTGCCAACTGCTGGCCACATGTGGTGCTCTTGGCATCTGTTGCTCCATGTTAGAGCGAGAGGGCTGTTACCACCATGCCACACAACAGCTTGCCTGGCCATCATGCTGCATGGGCACTGTGGGCAGTGGCATGTGTCATGTCCACCCACACACTGCCCCTGGTCAGCTATCCACCCGCCTGAATGATGATGCTTTGCAAAGCTGGGTTCTGCTACAGCAAGATTTCTCACTGTGTTCTGCTACCAGATGCCTCCAACATCTTTGGTCTTCTGTCTGCTATCTGAGTTACTCTAGGAGATTCCATAGAACCGTGTCGAGCATTACTCTACCCTAAAAACTAGTGCCAGTACTAGGCACAACTACTTCCTGCAGTCCACTTAACATATAGCCCAAGGGACGTGAGTATTTACCTCGGTACCCCCAGAGGTGAAGACAATGTCCTGTGGTTTCCCACCCAGCATGCGCGCCAGGGCCTCCCGGGACGCGGTGATGATGTCCTTGGCCTTTTGACCTTGAGGGACCGGAAACAGAAGCCAGTCACCACCACCTCTGCCTGCCTGCCAGGCATGTGAGACAGAGTGGCACACACTGAGGCACAAGAGATGGAAGGAAGACGTGCTACCACCTACGACGACGGCCAGGGACAGCGGCAGGTGTTAGCGATCAGGGACAACCACCAAGACTCAAGAGACTTAGTGAGAACCACACAGAAACAGCAGACGCCCTGCGTCCCCTGGGCCGCAGCCTTCCTCTTACCAGACACAGAGGAGAGGGCTGTGGCCGTCTGCCAGGAGATGGGGGAGGCAGTAACGCGTGAGATCACGCTGCAAGACAACAGAGAGAGCCACACTCGAGCTCTGATCCCACACCACAGCCAGCACCAGGGGTGTAGAGGCCCCTTGCAAGGTGCTGGGGGGCCGGGGCACTCCCCCCTTGGCACTGTCCTGGGGCAGGAGGGTCACGCAGCAGCCAAGACACCTAGTGACACCGGCTCTGGGAGCTGCCTTTGTAGCCTAGGCTGGCCTTGTGTTCCTCCTGCCCAGCCTCCCAAATGCCCAGATGACAGGTGGCACCACCACGCCGCAGTGATCCAAGTTTATTTGTAGAAACTATTTGAGCAGGCATGACTAAAAACTATATTATATTGGGACAGGGGAGATAGCTCAGGTCCTGAGTTCAATCCCCAGTTCTGAAACACAAACACACACACACACACACACACACACACACACAGAAGAATTAAAAAAAAAAACTATATTACAAAATATAGTAACATAAAAGTGTAAAAACTGAGGTAAAAATAAATACACAAAGAAATCCTTACACCTTTAACACCGCTCCACAGCAGAGTGGCTGACAGCGCCAGTGTATTAACAAGCAACCTAGGTTTTTGTTTTTTTTTTTTTGCAGAACCAGGAATTGAGCTCAGGCCCTTGCGCTTGCCAAGGAAGCGCTTATTCCACTGAGCCATCTCCCTGACTCCGCAACCTAGGTTTTAACCAGTGCAGCACAGCGGAGGGCCCTGCTGCTGCCCAGGCCCGGCCTCCCCAGGTTGCCTGGAAGCCCGCGACCACACCAGGGCGCCCTCCACCCTTCCATTCTCCCAGGACGTCGCTGCTCCCTAGCCTTTCGGAGAGCCGACAGGTACCCAAGGGATCTCTTGTCCCTTCTGCTCCTTTCCTCTTCCTTTTCTTTGTGGTACTGGGATCGAACCAACCCAAGGCCTGCACACTAAGCTGTATCCTCAAACCTTTTTTATTTATTACTTTGTGACAGAGTACACTTAACCACTAATCTGCCCGGGCTGGGCTTCAATTAGAGGTCTTTCTGCCTCAGCCTTCCAGAGGGCTGGGATTACATGTGTTCTGACTGCAGCAAAAGTGGTGATGGCGGGAGAAATCCTGAACCCTTCCCTCTGTGACCAGCCAGGTCCCCTGTGCACTGGGGAGGGCACTTACTCCATGCCTGACCTCCCACGCCCCACCCATAGAGTGTGTGCACAAGAGAGGTGCCAGATCACACCCACCATACCCACGCAGACCGAGATGGGCAGCAGAGGAGGCACACTCAAGGCTCCTGTGCCAAGCTGCCAGGCGTCCTGCCCTCAGGTGGACCCAGCCTGGCTCCCGGGGTTAGCATGAAGTGTTGCCATGGAACCAAGCCCTGGACAGTGTCACACGTACCTGCTACCTGCGTCCTTCCAGGACGCAGCTCTACCCTTCTCCCTCCCACAGGCTGGAGTGCTGTCGTGAGGGCTTGAGCCAGACCAGCCACCTTGACCACAAGGGTTGGAGGCACTCTGAGGATGGGAGAGGAAGACAGGAGGAGCTGATCCCTGGTAGTAGGGGCCCCTATGGGTCCCAACTGCATGCAAGAAATGGTCCGGGGGCTCTGCAGGCCACTTGGTTCTCTGTCAGCAGGCGCTTGCGGCAGAACTGTGTAACATTTATACTTGCCCAGATGCACACATGGTTGTGTGAGGAACAATAATGAAATCACGGAGCCAGGGAGATAGCTCAGTGGAATAAGTGTTTGCCTGGCAAGAAAAATTTCTTGAGTTCAATCCCTGGTACCACCAAAAAAACCCAAAACAAACAAAAAAAAACCCATACAATAATGAAATCACACTCATCCCGACTTACCCGCAAGCAGGTGGCTGCAGCTCTCCCAGCTGCCCTCTGGCCAGGCCCAGGGAATTCATGACGCTGAGTACTCAGCCCTCGACTGACCAGCGCTGAGCTCAGCCCAGTTTTGTTTTGTTTTGTTGGTACTAGGAATCAAACTCAGGACCTTGCACTTGCCAGGCAAGCACTTATTCCACTGAGCTATCTCCCCACCCCCACCCCATTCCCAGTTTTTATTTTTCACTATTGTAAGCCAGGCTGTGAAACACATCTCAGGTTCCAAAAGTCTTCTGGCATGGCCTCCATGTTTTCCTTAAAATCAGCCTCCTCTGGTTGTTCTCCAGCTTAGCACATCAGGAATGAGAGCTTGTGGTGAGCAGCTGCCCAGCACCTGACGCTGAGACATGCTGCCTGCCCTGCTGCTGCCTGCCCCACTGCTGCGAACTTAGTAAGCAGGGGCCAGGAAATCACTAGCCCCACAGCAGGGTCTCACTCTGCTCACAGCACCGCGTTGGCTGGTCAGAATCCATAGCTCAGACCATGCACCTCCACATTGCTAATACACATCAAGCAGGAAAGGGAAGACTTGAGTCCACCTGGCAAAACGTCACACTGCCACAGTACTGCTGATCCGCGACAATTTACCTTCCCAAATCTCCAGTTGAAAGGTCTACATTACAAAACCACATCAATAGGTTAGGAAGACTTACAACTACAGTAACGAATTTAGCAGCAACTTTCACTTTTCAGAGGCCAGGAGGGCAGGGGCTGTGGCTGGAACAGCACACTCTCCAGCCTCCTGGCTCTGTGCTGCCATCCCTGGGCCTTCTCACCGGTACCTGAGACCTTTGCCTCTAGCTCGGTGAGGTGAGAGCACGTTGAACACTAAATACTAGAAGCTAAAGATCATGGCATCGGTGAGGCTCAGTCTACAAACCCGGACTTCTCAGAAAAAAGAAAGACCCAAAACTACAGCCAGAGACATGCAATCAGCAGAAAGTGCCAGGACCCCAGCCCCCCATTACCTGCCAGGTAGGGGCTGCTGGGGTTCCCCCAGGCCTCCCGCATGGCCTCCGTCATGACCCGAATGACCTCTGGCTCCAGCGGAGTGGTGGCATTGTAGTCCATGTATACCTTCCTGCAGGAGGAAAGCGGGGGCCCGTAGGGCAGGAAGGGCAGACTGGGAGCACGGGCTCCCTCAGTCTGCTCTTTGCCAGTTGTGCTTTTGGTTGTTGTTTGTATTTTTGAGACAAGGCCTCTCTATGTGTTCAGACTGGCCTTGAACTTGCCATGTAGACAAGGGTAGCCTCCAACTTTCATGATCCTCCTGCCTCAGCCTCCCAAGCATTGGGTTTACAGGCATGGGTCACCATGCCTGGATGCCTATTGTGTTTTCACTCATGCAGAAATTCACAAATCTCTCTTCCTTAGGTAGGATACAGTGTGTGGGTCTGGATTACCCTCTGGAGGGCTGCAGCCTTCTGCTTCCTGCCCAGGCCCTCTCTTAAGGCGGCCTTGCCTAGTGACGGCAACCCACCTGTGGTCTCTGGGTTGTGCTGTGGCCCGCAGCCCCTGCCAGGCTACCCCTCTCCCTGTTCCTGGGCTGGCCATGTGGCTCAGGATCTGCCCTCTGCCGGCTTGACCTCTGGAAGACACCAGCACTGAGGAGTTTCTCTGGAAACCTTTTTACCACTACCAGAAACCTGCAGTGCTACCTTCAGCTACCTACCTGCCTGATGCCAGTTATTATTGTACTTGGTTTTAAAATCAATGACAGGGGCCGGGGAGATGGCTGAGTAGGATAAGCGCTTGACTGGTAAACGCAAGGATCTGAGTTCAATCCCGGGTTCCACCAAAAATAAATAAATAAATAAATAAATAAAAATAAAATCAATGACAGTGTATAAAGCCACCCACACAAATACAATTATTAACTGTGCCTGGAGATTAGAGGGAAGGGGATGGAAGAATTACACAATGCTGTGCACAAGGACCAGTTCTTCTCAATCAACTTCAAGTGATGCACAGCAAGCATTCTTTTGTTTATTTATCTTTTTGTATTTTAGTACAGGGTCTACAGGGTCTCACTACGTACATCGGACTCATAGTGATTCTCCCGTTTCCAGCCTCCCAAGTGCTGGGATTACCAGCATGAGCCACCATGCCCAGTCTCAGTTCTTGCCTAGGGGTGGAGCCGGCACTACAGGCAGGGGATGGAATCCAGCCACTGCGCTCTGCCTAAGCTGGCACTTTAGTCCGCTGAGTTATTTGCCAAGCCATGAACATTCTTTTAGAAAGCTCCAGACGAGGCACAGTATGTGCACTAATTCCCACACACCACCTTTGCTACAGGCTGTGAGAGCCCAGATATTACAGCCTCTGGAGACTTCTCTGTTAGGTACTGTGCTCTGCAGGGACCAGGGTGGCAGTGGGGGCCGTTCTTCCCTATAAACAAGAGACGCCTCAAGCTCCTACTGCCCAGTGATCCTGCTCCACTACTTCCTTAAAGTGCTACCTATATTAGGCAGGAAACAGGCACACACAAGTGGGTATGCACGCCCGCCCCGCTCCCCAACCCCCCCCCCCGCGCCCTCGGGGACACACTTTGCACACTCTCCTGCACTGGCGGAACTAGAGCAGGAATGTGTACAGCACCCTTGGGAGACTGGAGACCTCAGCACCAGCCTGGGCGCCCTCTCTCCCGGCAGGGGGTCATCCCGACTCCCCTCCCCCCCCCCCCCCGTTTATACAAAAGGTCCCCAGGGTCCTCTGCTCCTTCCCATGTCCCACATGCACCCAGGAACAGCGGGAGTCCTCCAACAGAACTAACGCCCGCTGCGCTCCCAGCCCACACCTCCACCTTGCCCTGGGCGATCAAGGCAGGTCGCCTAGAACGAAAACTTGCCGCCTGAAGTCTCCCGACTTCTGGACATCACCTCTCAGCGGCTGGGTTAGGAATTCCCAGGAGACCTGCTGGCCAGGGAACCGTCAACCCGAGCGACAACCCTGACATTTGACTTCCGAGAGTGACCTCTGACCCCGACAATGACCTCCAACGAGGAACGATAAGCCCAGCCCCAAGTGACAACCCCGGCCGGAGAGTGACAAGTCCGGGCCGAAGAGTGACCCCGAACCCGACAGCGACAACCCCAGCCCCAAGGATGGCAACAACGGCCGGGGCAGTGACCCTGACAGCGACAACCCAGACACCGGCCCCCAGCCACCCTTCTCCAGCAGGTCGCCCCGTAGCGCCCCAGGGCCTCCAGAGGAAGCGCGGGCGGCTCCCCGCTTCCCAAGCGCGCACCTCTCCAGCGGGCTCTTCTCTTGGCAGCCGCCCGGCGGGCTGCCCACGCGTCTCCGAACCCTCGAGTCCCTCGCCGGGGCAGTCGCCTCCATCGTGACCCCACTTTTCCTGGCTCCAGTGCTCGACCTGGGGATCCCCGGGCCAGCAGAGGAGGCGGGACCGCGTCCGGATTGGCTGAGAGGGGCGTCTCCAGCCAATCTGCGTGCTCACCGGGGAGGTGGAGGAGAAGGAGCGAGCTGATTGGCTGCGCGAGGTCAGGTGCCGGCCGGGGCGGGGCCGGTGGCGAGGCGCACCGCCCCTGCTAGGCCGCGGCTCCCGCTTCCGGGAGCCCGGGTAGCTGCGGTGCGGGAGCGGCCCGGGCCGGGGGCGCTGAAGACCCCGCCTGAGAGCCGCGGCGATCGTCTGCCTCCGGCCGCTGTCCACCGAACCGCGAGCCCCCTGAGAGCCGAGCCGAGCCGAGCCGAGCCGAGCGGCTGCACTCTACGGTGCAAACTCGGCGGGACGCGCCGTGTGGCGCTTGGCGGCGGCAGTCGAGGCTGTGCGGTAGGCAGGGCTGGCACCGGTCGCGAGCGCACGCAGACGCGATTCAGCCAGACGAGGGCCGCCCTTTCCGGGGCGACCTTGGAACGAAACGAGACCACCGTTCCTCCACGGATTGGAGGCTACCGAGTAGCTGTCGGTAGTTAAGCTGGAGGAGACAGGCGGCTGGGGGAGGGCGAGAATGCGGGGCTCGGGGCGGAGGAGGAGGGGACAGGAGCAGCTCTGGTGCCCGTCCGGGGTGGGGAGGAAGATGGGTCGTCTGGGCTGTCGCACGAACTGGCAGATAGGTCAGCCGTGAGGTGAGGAGCGACCTAAAGCCGGGCACTGAGGCGCGGTTTCGTCCCTGAGGCCAGAGTCGAGTCGGGCGAGCACGACGGAGGCACTAATTTAATCTTGAGCACTGTCATCAGGTGGGCGTGCCGCGCCATTTTTATAGATAAGGAAACTGAGGCACGCGAGTACACGGCCATGTCCACCAGCACGCAGGGAGTGATGCGGCCAGAGTGGGAACTGGGCGGGCTGCCCTGGGGGAACTCAGGTTGTCTTCTGCTCAGTCCAGAAGAGCCCGACTCTGGGTGGCCTATGCCGCCCTGGACTCCACTTCCTGCCACTAACCCAGCTCATTTCTGGCCACAGGCAGCCAGTGGTCAATGGAGGAAGGGAACTGAGAGGTTACGTGAGCCGTGAGCCGGGGCCTGGGTCAGTCACAGTCATGGAAGGAACAGGAGAGGTGGGAGGAGCGTGCGCGAGAAGGTGCTCCTGGAAAGACTGACAAAGTCACAAAGGCACACGGCGGCCTGTGAGGCAGAGGAGGCTGAGGCAGGAGGACCACCAGGAGCGTGAGGCCAGCCTGGGCTACAGAGTGAGAGCCTGTCTCAAAAACCAAAACAATCAGAAGAGAACAGGTAAAGTGCACGGTGGGTTTTTAGGGAAGTGGAAGTGTTTTATACAATACTGCTGCAGTGGACATTCACATATTGGTCAGCCTCAGACGATCTGCGACCCCAGATGTAAGCCTGGACTTTGGGCAATGGTGATGCCTCAAGCAGGCTCATCAGTTGTGACAAGTGTGGTACAGCAGATGCTGACAGCGGGGACATTGTGTACTGAGACAGGCAGATGTGCTAGCTCTGCAAATTCTGTTTTGTTTTTCTCTTTAGACATAGAGTGTCACTACATAGTCCAGGCTGGACTCTTTCACAGGGATCCTCCTGCCTCAGCCTCCTAAGTGCTGGGATTACAGGTGTGTGCCACAGTGCTGGGCAACCTCTGCACAAATTTGCTGTGAACCTAAAATTGCTCTGAAAAGTCAAGTCTATACTTACAAAGCAAGTCTGTACTATTCACAGATGGGCCCAAAATCAGAATATCCCCAGCTGAGCAATGGGTCAGTGGCCTGGTGTCGTAGGTTGCAGTAGATGTTGTTTATCTGCTCCCGCTGCTGGGCAGCAATAATGAATTGTCCCCAGCAACGGGGCTGAGGCTGAAAGACCCTAAAATAGCTTGTAAATTTTTTTTTTTTTTTTGGTGGAACCGGGGATTGAACTCAGGCTTTGTGTTTGCCAGGCCTCCGTAAATTTCCTGAGGCTCTAGTTGCTGGGTGATTTCCTTGAACTTTCAGTTTCTTCTTTTTCTTCTATTTAGGTCCTCAAACCCTGCTTGAACACTGTAAGAAGCCCCACAGCAGGGAACTCAGCAGAATTCTCAGTCCCGAGTTACAGAACAATACTGTGTAAACTGATTTTATCTTGGTAATCATTTGTCTTTTTTGTTTGCTTTTGCTCCATCTCAGAGACAGGGTCTTGATACATAGCCCAAGGCAGCCTCAAACTTGTGCACTGCTCCTGCCTCGGCCTCCCAAGTGCTGAGACCATAGGTGTGCGCCACACCAGGCTGCAAAGTCCCGTCTCTGCCTTTACCTGCGACAGTTTCTCTAGTCCGAGCTCTGACCTTTTTCTTTCAGCGCTGCAGATACTTCTCCACCACTTCCTGCTTGCATCGTCTATGGTGAGAAGTCAGCTGTCTCTCTTTTCTTCTATCTTGATTTTTCTTATGTACGTTTATAGTTTTGTTCTATCGCAGATTTCAAGCAATTTGATGCGATTTGGAGTGGCTTGCTTCTTCCTCTTTTCGCTTTGTCAAGCTTTTTCATCAACACATTTACAGTATACACCAATTTGGGTTTTCATCTTTTCCCATTTGTTTCTCCTCTATTTCTCTGGGGACATGCGATTGCGCGGTGCCCACGCCGTTGGTGGGACTGAGCTGCTTCGCGACTCTGGGCTTTAGTGCTGCCTCTTTACTCACAGGGTGACTTCTTGTGCAGCATTCAGTCTCTCCTTAAACCTCCTGGTCTCGTTGCTGGTGTGTAGTGTTCTTCTGGCACTGAAGTTTTTTCTATGTTCTCCACCTTCTTAAGCTGTTTTAATGTTCTTATCGCTTGTATTTGTCATTTGTATATTTGTTATTTCTGGGTCTCTATTGACTGCTTCCCCCCAGTGACCATGGGCCACATTTGCTGCTTTGCATGTTTTACATATATTTTTTTGGTGCTGGGAATCACACTCCTAACTCAGGCTTGCTAGGCAGGTGCTGTGCCGCTGAGCTGCAACCTGGCCCTGTAGCTGTTTTACTGAATGACACACATTGAGCATTTCACTGTGTTGGGCCCAGAATCCTTTTAATTGAAAACTGTATTGAGGTCACAGTAGGTTTTCTTCACTTCCCACAAAAACAGCCACATCTCTGACCACAACCAGGGTGTTGATGCCGAGCCCCCAGCTGTCCTGGTGTTGCGCCTCCCCACACGTCTTCCTGAGGTGCTGCAGCAGTCACTGGGCATGAACGTTCCTAAAGGTGGAGTGGCACCCAGTCTACTCGGTGAGGAATCCTATGTGCGCTTCCACACCTGAGCTTCCTCTGTTCCCCTCTACTCAGCAGCACTATGGACTAGCCGAATTTTAATTTCCCTTCTACCCTTTCCTTTGTTTACAGATCTTGCCTTAGTCAATCTGTAATTAAGCATTCTTTGCACCCTACTTCACCTGAGGTCTTGATGTCACTTTCTTTCCTGGAATAGGTGCTGTAGAGCTCAAGATCCTAGCAATTCAGTAGGACCTGGCCCCTCCCGCTGGTCTCTGGCCCCCTACAGGTGGCGCTATCTTTCTGGCTCGTTCAAGATGCCTGGATCACAGTGGCAGTGTTCAGCAGGAGTTGTGCCCACGGATACCAGAGCTGTCTTCCTGTAGGAAGCAGCTGGGCCTGGGAGGGTACCTTTGTCTCCGGGCACCTCACTATCCTGCTTCCTGGCCACCATGCCGTTTTTGCTGCTCAAGGACTAAACCGTGAACCCAAATAAAGCTCTCCTTTAAACTTCGTGCTGTGAGTGACCGAAATGGGCTAGTTCCCCACTCCACAAGAGGCAGACACAGGCCCTTCAGCCTCAGTGCTGCTCCCTGCCTGCCAGGATGCCTCAGCCTCAGCCAGCACGGACCAGGGTCACTGCGGTAGGACAAGATGCAACATATAACCTTCCAATATCAGGCACCAGGAAACTGAGGTCACATGGAGGTGGAAAGGCAACACAGAAGCTACATGAGGAACTTAAGGGCATCCTGCTGTTGCCAGGACTGGAAAGAGCAGGGTGCACTGTGCAGAGGCCCCAGTTGGAGCGACCTGGCCTCTGGCACTGGGAACTCATGTCCACAGCTGGAGTTCACATGAGCTAAAAATACAGTGAGTTGACGGGGAAGAGCTCTGGCTTGATGATTCTGGCAATGAAAACAGGTGAGCACAAAGCCAGGGCTTTGAAGAGTTGTGTGTACAAAGGCATCTAAGCAAGCATCTTCTCCACAGTCCAAAGCCTGTGCATGCCTCCATCCGTGGTGGTCAGTCTCCTGAGTCTATGACACAGCCTAGGCTGGCCTCAGACAATCTACAGGTGTGCACCACCACAGCCTGCTACCATGGGGATTAACTATAGTTAATTGTAGGGGATTAGCTGGTGGTCAACTTGTTATACCCAGCTGAACTGAATCAGCATGGTGCTGGGTGTAGGAGGCGCACCTGAGAATTATGTCCGCAGTATAAGAGGAACATGAGAGAAGCTGCTGGTTCTCCTGCACTGCTCTGCTGGAGGATCTTGTCACACTGGCTTTCCTGATGAACTCAGCTGTCCTTGCAGGAGCTAGGACCTTCGAGGTTGCTGAGAATGGCTACAGTTCATTGGGGTGGGGGACCTCTGGTCCTCTAGAGCACTACTTCCTGACTCTGGAGGGGAAAACTGCACTGCTTAGCCTCATGGAGAAGCTTGTCACATCAGCTTTGCTGATGGTAACTCCCTAACTGGGAGTCTGTGCTTGCTTGACTCCTGGCCAAGGCCAAGGCAACAGGAACCAGGTACCCCGACTGAGAGGGAGGGAGGAGAAGCCTAGTGAGGAAGACCAATGATGCCGAGTCCCACTGTGTGTGGGGTGGGTGGTTCCCAGCTACGCAAGCTGTCCTGAGGATGCACATATGGCTGCTTGGTGACCCGGGCCAGAAGTGTCCAACAGAGGCTACAAGCCCTCAGGGCACCAGTGCAGACTGGTTGAGCCAATCCCCTAACAGAAGACATGGCTTCCTGTGGCCCCAAGCTATACCCCAAAAACAGCAAATGAAAAAGCAGACCAAGGCAAGGGCCAGAGGCACACTGCTCAGGTTGACCCAGCTTCTCCATCTGAGCAGTGGCTGCCCTGCCTCAGGCCCTCAGGTTACCCTGCAGCAGCACAAGGACAGCTGCTGGTGCCTAGCCGGAGTGGGGCCATCCCAAGGGCAGCCCTATGATGGAAGGGGTGCTGTGCCAGCAGCCACGGGTGAGGGTGGCCAAGAGCTGGAGCAGGATATAGTCAGTGGTCATGGATACTCAGCCACTCAGACTCCCACCAGGACAGGTCAGCTGGGACCATGAGGTGCAAAGCCTGGGGTACTGCTTGGGTCTGAGGGTAGATCTGAAGCCTCCTGTCTGGATTTCTGCTTGACAGAATTTATCACTCAGCTATCTGGGAATCTCTTCATGATAGGCCCTCACTGTGTCTCGAGCTGGCCTTGAATTCGCAGGGACCCTCCTGCCTTAGCCTCCTGAGTGCTGGGGTCCCAGACAGGCATGTGTAACTGTGCCCAGCTTTGAAATGTCATTTGAAGAGTTAATCTCTGATAAGGGCAGGATTTTTCTGCAGCACAGATACTTCGCAGTCAGAACTAGCAACTGGCATTCTCAGTGTGAAGCACACCTATGAACGGAGTGACAGGCACCAGCACCCCTTCTTTTGTGGAAGTGCACAAAGGAGAAAGTCCCACCAGGCCTGCCCAGCCCTGGCCCTGGAGCAGAGGCAGTGTGTGCTGGCACAGCTGGGACACGGTACCTCAGCACCCATGCAGTTTGCTCGGTCCAGCCTGCCCTTCCTGCTGCACCCAGGCTTGGGGCTATCAGCCAGGCGCCCCCAGCTCTGGCTAGCACAATTCCTGACATGAGAAGGGAGCAAGAGTTCCATCATGTGCCCGCTGGGGCCAGGCTCCTCTCACTGCCAGCTTCTCTTCAAGAATGGCAACCTGAACACCACAGCTGGCAGTCAGAGACCATAGAGGGCGCGGGAGTGTGGGGCGGAGGCAATGAAACCAGACACGTGCTTATTGTGCATAGGGGTCTGAACGCTGCGTGAGGCACGGTCCGCTTCCTGTCTGCAGACTCTTCCTGTGTGCTAACCTGGCCGAGCCCAGCAGCAGCCCTCCAAGCCCTTGGGGCTCCCCAGACAGCACGGGACTATGCCCGCCAGGCCAGTCACCAAGATAACAGGGAGCAGGCTGGGTACTCTGACAAGCAGCGACCAACTCCAGGCCTACGACCATGACAGAACTGCCGGCCCCAGCCAGCTTCTCGTGGACAGCATGAGAAAGGGCAAGATGCCCTTTAGTGACTTTTGCCATCCAGGTCAGTTTTCTGGTTCTGAGATCTGTACCACCTCTGGACCCATAAGCAAGAGCTGGTGTTTAGGAGCAGACCCAGCTACACTTGGACAGATTGAGTAATGTGGCTTTCAGAGCTGCTCTGTATTTCTCTTCTGTGGCTGCTCGACCCCACAGCTTTCTGTCTGCTCTTTACAATGAAAATACAAACTAAATGAGTAGAAAAAAATAAAAGCATTAAATTGTACAAATTACAAATCTCTTCCAAAATATACTTACATTAAATAAAATGCGCATTTCAGTAAGAGCTACAGTGAATGACTATGCATTCTGGGAAGCTTCACATCTAGGCAGGGCCAACATTCACAGAGGAAGCTAAGAGAACGTGCGTCGGTCACAGTTTGCGCGGGCTCTTCTTGCCGATTAGCGAGCACACTGGACGTGCCCTTCCATGCCCCACAGCCACCCCTGAGCGGGCGCCAGGGAGCAAGCGCAGTTGCAGGCTGAGTTCGGGATAAGTCAGCCTAGATAGCCCAGTTTTGGGAAAGTAAACACGTTAAGGGAAGCAGACAAAGCTCTAGAGCCAGACACACTTTCCTGCTGTATTTATGCTGCACTCTCCAGCTACAGTGGGCAGTCAGGAGGATGTCTTCGCCAGGGCAGGGCAGCCGCAGGACAGGGACAGCCCACGGGGCTGAGGGGCGCGAGGACGGGAGGCGGCCCGCGGGGTCCCTGGCCGCAGTGTGCTCCTCTCATCATCTGGCGTAGCGCTTGATGTAGTCGTCCACTTTGTTCCGGAAGTCCTCCTGTGAAGGGAACAGGAAGAGTGAGACCCCAGGCAGGGGCTGAGGGGAGCCGGGCCAAGGGCCATGTTCCACACTGCAGGTGGGGAGGGGGTGTGAGGTCTGGGCAGAGATCCTATGAGGAGCCCGTCCATACCGAACTGCAGAGATGGCAGGGTGAAGCGGGCAGTGTGGCCACGGCCACTGTGCTGCAGATCGGGTGAGCTATGACTGCTGCTTTCTGGAAGTCCCTTGTTTCCCGATCTCTGCCTCCTCTGTGACTCCATCAGGGGCTGCTACCTACTGGGAATGCATCCGCCCCAGGTACCCAGCCCCACCTGCAGGCTGGCCACCCCGCCCAGGGGAAAGCTTGGCACTCTCCTCAACAACAGGACAGGAAGTCCAGCTGCCTGGGTGCCTGGAAGCCTCTGACAACAAGGTCACAGGAGCCCAGGATGCAACCAGGCCACCACCAGCAGGGCAGCTCTCTCCAGTGTGGCCGCTGCTCCAGATCTGTCCCAGATCTGCTATCCCAGGGACAGGCACACACTCCCACTGGGATGAGTAAAAGAGGACTTGCAGTGCCATACAGTGCAGCAAGCTGGCACACACCCGGCAGGGCCAGCGCACACTAACGCGCCACATACTCTGGTGGGAGACCCTGCCTGCAGCTCCTTTCTGCAGGGCCACTGCTCCGGCCAGTCAGGAGCCAGGCAGCTGCCCCCAACATACTGAACCAGCACAGGCACCCACTCCAGGCTAGGAGGCCACTCTGGGACTGCTCCCATGCTCAATGTTAAAAATTAGCTGTGCCTTGGCCCCAGGGGATGGCTGCCGCTGCCAACTCCTCATACTTGCCAGTTCTGCTGCTATAGAGCCTCTGTGACAGGGGCTGTGCAGAGGCCTCCAGCAGAAGCCCTCCAGGGCACGTGCAGTGTCCCCAGAGGCAGGTGACGTGGGCAACTCAGCAGGAAGACTTCCGCCTGTCGCCTGCTCTTGGGACAAAAGGCTGCCACTCTGTCTCAGTCTCTTCCTCTGCTTACCTCGCCCAGGGTGAGCAGGGAAAAGTCGAGCACAAGGCCCCGGGCTGTGGTGCAGGACAGCGGTGTGCAGGACACACTATCAGGCTGAGCCCCGGGGAGTTCACAGGGCAAGCTCAGTGGCTGCAACTGGGCAGAGAGCCCTTGACTCAGACCAGACGAGCCCCCACCCTACACTATCTCCTCGGGGACAGGAACCACAGTACTAGCATGCCTCCTCTGCCCCTTCTTTCCCAGTAGGCCTGAATATTTTGTCTCCAGATAAACTTTCTGAACAGGAGTTCTGCTGACGTCTCAGACCCAACAGGCATTGACAGCTACACCACAGGCTGGAGGCTCAGTCACCCCTGAGGACCCCCACCCCCAACGAGTTTCTTGAGGGAAGAAGGAAGCAGGCAGTTGCCTGTAGTGCACAGAAATAGCCTGGCAAGGGTTGGACTTGCCGGGACACCATCTGAGCCAGGGCCCCAGGCCCCAGGGCCCACTTCTAGGACTTCTTTCTGCAGAACACAGCACCAGTATCAATGCATGAAAGTACAACAGCCAGGCATGGTTGTTGTGCACCCCTGTAATCCCAGCACTCAAGAGGCTGAGGCAGGAGGATTGTTGTGAGTTTGAGACCATCCTGGACTACAAAGCGAGCTCAAGGCCAGCCTGACCTGCATCGCCTGGTCTCAAAAACACAGAAAGAAAAAAGACAGACAGACAAAGAAAAAGGAAGTGCAACATAAGTTTATTGACTGGGGCCAGGGAGATGGCTCAATAGAATAAGCACTTGCCTGGCAAGCGCAAGGGCCTGAGTTCAATCCTTGGTTCGGGGGGGGGGGGGAGTTTACTGACTTACTCTTTGTAGCTGGAAAAATATCCAAGGGAAAAACCTGAATGCCCACCAAGGAGAGGATGGTTTCAAAAAAAAAAGTCTGGTGGAGCCACTTACAGAACATAAGGCAGCTGCTCTAAGTGAAGTGACGTTCTGTGCTTTGGCTTTGAGGGAAAAGGTTGTTTCAAGAGGAACTGAAGATTCAGAGTAATGCACAGGCACGTTCCGCCCTGTTCCCAAGGGAAAGGAGTCACTGCCCATTTTACATCACTCACCCGAACCTTTCCTTGGAAACCTCATCTGATAGAAACTGCTCCTCTAGCCTCAGCTAACAAACGTTTCCTGAGAGCCCACAGGTGGTGTGGTGCCTTCTGAATCCACTTTCCACTTCTCCCCTACATGGGCCAGGGTCATATCTCTCTACCTACCACGCCAGGCTGGCCTAAGCCCATCATGAGCTTACCTTGTCCCGCAAGTGATGTTCTGCAGCTTCGATATTCAGTGGATCATCAAAATTCAAAAGATCCTTAAATGAGAGAGACCCAAAGTAAATGCTGGAAACAGCCTCCTATCCTGCTGTCTAAGCTGGCACTGGAAGCAGCCGTGGAAAAGCAGAGTACCTGGAGGCCTTCACAGCTGCTGCTGGGGGTGGCCGCTGCTGCTGGGGGCAGGCACCACCTGGAGCTCCCAGCACTGGCTGCCTCCCTGACCAAGACCTATCTGGGCTTGATGCAGGGCCCCGCCTCTCCTGCAGGCTTCTCTCACCCCAGCCCTGCAGGATCTGCTGAAGTCACTGCTTTGCACTGTGTCCACAGTGACAGTCACAGAAAGTTAGTGTGTATCTCTTCAGAAATTAGACTACATTTGGGGATTATATTCCTGATTTGGAAAAAGTATGTGTATAAGCACTAATCTACTAGAAACAGCAGAAACGGTAAATCTCTATGGTTATTCCGAATAGGAAAATTAGATTCCAAGGTCGGGAAGCAGGAGAAAGCATGAGGTACATATTTTATGCCATTCCTAACACACAGACAGGCAACTTTAGATACACAAAATTGTTCACTGTCTTTACCATATGCTTGCCCTAAGATAAATACACTGATTAGAATAACATCACAGGTTGAACCCAGACTTTTGACTGACTCTTCAGAATTAGGAAACTTTGAGGCACTTGGAGATGGTAGCTAGTGGGGTTGCACCAGATCATGTTTTTGCTGAAAACCAAGAACACGAGCCAGCCGTGTGCATGCCTAGAATCCCAGCACTTTAGGAAGCTGAGGCAAGAGGACCTCACGTCTGGGCCCCGTCTGGACAGCTTAGCAATACTGTCTCAAAATAAAAATAAATGAGTAAAAGGCTGGGGGTGTAGCTCAGCATGAAGGTGCTGGGTCAAATCCCCAGTGCTGCCGCTGAGGACAGGAGCCGAGTGGCTGAGGGGTGCAGACAAGACGTGCCGCGGGGCACCACAGGGGGCTGTGAACATTCCCCAAGGTGGGCTGCTCCCTCAAAGGACTGGGGTTCTTAATTCAAGAGGGATCCCTGAAACTTATTTCTCTGAAAGGCCTTTTGTCAAGACCCCAGTGCCAGCATTCTGTGTCCTGCCCACAGTCCCGGAACAGCAGCCCTCACAGTGCCCCTGAGGGAGGGAGAAGGACCTCAGACTCGGCTCCTCAAACCTGGAGCTCCAGGCTCTCACATGCATCTGTCCTCACCCACCCAGGATGCCTGGAGCATCAGGACCCAGACACCTTGGGGACCTGGCCTGGAGAGCCCTGCTGCCTCACCCCAGGGTCACCCCACTGTGTCTGGCCCCTGTCACAGCTCCATTCCTGTGGGAGCGATGCAGAGGCCAAGCATGAGGGGTGTGCATGTGACCTCCAGTGTTATCCCTAAGGTGATATGCAGATGGAGGCCAGGGAAACCAGAGAGCTAGTGTGCAACCATATACTTACAGTGAATAAAGAGTTCAACCCCCAAACAACATCCTGAAACAAGAAAACAGAAAACTATTTTCAGGCTCCTGTGCACGGAAGCTTTCTAAACTCGTGACCAACAAACAGTTCCTGCTCTATATGGGAACCTGTCTTTAGCAGGCACTGTTTCCAGATGGGAAATGAAAACCACTTTTCCTCAAACCCTGGAAAACTGAAAAAAACCCGGAGAAGACCCGGAGTAAGATGAGTGAGGAATATCTAAGGGACACCCAGAACCCACTCAGACACCAGCAGCAGGCAAGCTGGCTGCATGTGCAGCTGAGCGCCACCTCAGCCCCTCCAGTTGTCACCAGCAGACACGTCAGGCTTTAGCCAAGAGACTCATATAAAACATTCAGTCTAACATCAACTGTGCTGTACGGTCAGGCACAGGCCAACTGCCCATATCTGGCGTCCACTTAATACCTTTGCTTTTGTTCCTTCAGGCACTCAGAGAGGTGCACATTCCAAGGACCAGACATTTTCATTAAAATAAAACAAAACCAGTGCTGTTCTGTCTGGCCTGACTCTTGATCTGCGGCCACCAGACTTCATCATGCGTCTGCCTCTGCAGCAGCTGGAGAGCGTGTCGTTTGTGAGCTGCCTCTCACGACACGCCCATCGTCTGCTGGCTAGCAGCTGCACTCGCCCCTGCCTGCCTTCTCTTCACCAAGCCACCTGGCCGGACCCTGGCATCCAGGACTAGCACAGGAGTGCGGGACAAGCACTGTGTCTGGTGAGGAAGGGGCAGCCAGGTGGGCCGCTCAGCAGGCTAAGCCAACACACCTTCCCTGCAGAGGCTCCAGAGGGAGCAGCAGCTGTCAGGTGGGGCCACAAGGGCACGGGCCTGTGCCTGTGCTGGGCTGCCCTGTGGCAGAGACCAAGGTGGCTTAGGAGGAAGTGGACCACAGTGCTGTGACTGAGACCAGGTGGCAGTCCAAAGGTCCCTTCCTGCACTGTGCCTGCCCCTGCAGTGGCCACATGGTGACAGCCACCTACCACATGACAGTCCATTGGCCTCAAGGAGTGATCACCATACCAGTGTGCAGGCCTTTGTTCTGAGCACCTAGGTCTCGCGCTATCCCTGTAACAAGGGCCATGCGGCTCCTGTGGTGGCTGACACCTGCTCCAGGCTTCTCTGGCTCCTGAACACCACGACCACTGACCCCTAAGGACTCATGTCCAGCCAGATGACCTGGCAGTGTGCTGTGCTCCCAGGATGTGGGGGCCTAAGGACGAGCCCCTGGGGAGGACTGTGACCCAAAGACGCCAGCTCACCTTCAGCGTTCTCGTGGGAGCCCAGCCAGTGCCATCGATCGAGTGTTCTCTCAGTAAGCTGAAACAGACAGAGGTAGTCAGTGCAGAGCAGCCGCTGGGCACCAAGCCGCAGGCGCCCCTCAGATGCGAACCCGTGTCCTTGTACCCTGTGTAGCTTCCTTATTCACTCTACACACAGATCTTTAATCCTTGGCAAAGAAGTTTTTGGTATGCTCCAAACAGCACAGAACATTTGTCGTTTCAATACTGAGAGAATGACAGTACCAGGAACCATGGAGTAATGGAGGCTTTGAAGTTATGATGTGTGGTAGGCCCAATCCTAAGTTCCCCACTTGCCACCCTAGAAAAGACAGGCCAGGGATACAACTTGCAGCGGGGCAGCCTCCAGGAGCCTGCCCCCCCCCCACACATACACAACCACATGAACTTCTGAAACACAACATCTTAATGACTTTTTTTTTTTTTTTAAGAAAAAGGTTAAAACAAATACAATAAAAAGGATTTCAAGGGGCCAGGGAGATGGCTCAGTAGGATAAGTGCTGGACTGGCAAATGCAAGGATCTGAGTTCAATCCCCGGTTCTGCTGAAAAAAAAAGGTTTTCAAAAGAGAATCTGCGGATTGGTGCAAAATTCCAGGTAGCAGGGCTAACCAGGTAGCTCAGCAGACTAAAGCACCTGCTTAGGCAGGCGCAGGGATGGGGGTTTGATCCTTGGCAGGCTATACTGGCCCTGCCCCCAGGGCTAGCTGAGATAGGGACTGAGACTGGGCGTGGTGGCATGTGCCTGTAACTCCAGTGCTTGGGAGAATTAAAACAGGATCACTACAAGTCTGATTTGTGTAGTGAGACCTGTACTTAATAAAAAAAAAAAAAAAAGGAAAGAAAGACCCTGTACTTAATAAAAAAAAAAGGAAAGACCAAAAATAAATAAATAAATAAATAAATAAATAAATAAATAAAATCCCAGGTAGCAGCTCCTTGTAAGGTTGGACTGAGCCTGGTGGTACACCCCAGGTCCTGCAGGTGAAGGGATGCGGTATGCCGAGGTCCTGCAGGTGAACGGTTGCAGGGTCAGGGCGTGCCAAGGTCCTACAGGAGAAGGGGTGCAAGGCCAAGGCGTGTGGAGGTCCTGTGCATGTTCAGATGCATGTTATATTTTTCTCATGGCAACAATGTCCCATAATTTGTGAACTAAGATTTGTTGTCAAGCTTCTTTCTGGAGATAGCTGCCTTTGCATTTGTTAATTATACTGCACATACCTTTGATCTACACAGAGAGGCTGCTACGCTAACATGGTAACATCAGGTTTTTACAAAGGGCTGTTAACTGTTACCTGTAACAAACTTAAATGGAGTATAGCATGTCCAAATTCACTAAGTCCATTTAATTTATTTATTTTTTTTTTTTTCCAGTACCAGAGATTGAACTCAGAACCTTGCACTTGTCAGGTAAGCACTTATTCTACTGAGCTTTCTCCCTGGCCCTACTATTAGGTCAGAAAATCCAGTCCTCTACTAGTTAGCTGGACACCTTTCTGCCTGCAGAGGAAGCAGTGAGTGAGCCTAGCCTAAGCAGGCCTCAAAGCTCATGGCTTCTGAAGCTCCCTGGGAGCCGCCACGGGCCTACAGGCTTTCTAACTCAGGGGAGCACAGGTTGCAGGGTGCGGGGGTGCTCCTGAGCAAGCCTGGGCTTCCCTTAGGCCCAGCACAGGCTCCAGCACTCTCCACTCACTCCTTGTGCCCCCCACACAAGCAGGACCTACAAACTGCTCTCTGCTGGTGCAGCTTGGTCAGCAGCAGCAGGCAGGGAAGGAGGGGCAACAAGACGGCCCTCCAGCATCCTGTCAGCAGCACAGTGTGCACCAGGACCCCATACCTGGAGACAGGCAGGGGAGCAAGGGCCACCAGCCACAAGAGGAGCAGTGCTCCAGCTGCAGGGTAAAGACTGGCCAACCTGGTACCCTCTGTCCTCACTGGACACCTGCAGTCCTGGCATGGGACTTCCTGGGTAAAATCCCTGGCAGTGAGCTGACAAGCTGAGTTACACAAGCATGTGTGAACACAGGTCAGGTGCAGACTGCATGAAGGGCCCGCACAGGTGCCCACACCGTGCACACGCCAAGGCAGCCTGCCGCCTCCACTGTCTGCTGCCGTGTGGCCAGTACTCCTTTTTTTGTCTGTCTGTCTTTGTTTCTTTCTTTTCTTTGTACCAGAAATCAGACTTGGGACCTTGCACTTGCCAGGCAGGTGCTGAGCTATCTCCCTGGCCCAGCACTTTTTCCAGGATACTATGCATCTTTCTTCTGAGCACTTAGGGCTGTCTACACATAAGGATATCTACCCGACGAGGCTTTCTCTTTCTGTTTTGTGCTTTTTGTCTGTTAGTTTGTTTTAGGGTAATGAGGACTGAACCCAGGGTCTTCATAGTGAGCTACATCCTCAGCCCCTCTGAATTGTGAGACAGGGTCTGGCTAAGTTGTCCAAGCCAGGTTGGAACTTGCAAGCCTCCTGCCTTAGCCTCCAAGTGGGCAGGAAGATGGCCATATACCACCATGTCCAGCTGTGTTTAAAGACGTGCTGACCAGTGCTCCCTGTGGGGGTGCTGGATTTTCCTTCAGGCCACCACCTACCTTCCTAGGACACTTTAACAGTGAAGCCTGGCACTCCTGCTCTGGGCCTAGTGCTGACCAAGGCAGGAGGGCACATGGGAGGGAAGTGGGGCACACCACAGGGCCAGACAGTGGGTCCTGTGTTAGGAAAGCTGTGGGCTTTGGCTCGACACTTAAGGACAGACAGGTGAAGCCAAAGATATGCCAGTACAGCCACCTGAGGAGGGCAATGGCACGGTTGGCACTGCTGGGACGGGACAGGGCTCACAAGTGGAGCCTCAGCAGTCAGGCTTCCTTCCCCAGGGGACCAGTGGCCCTGAGTGACACACTGGAAAGGAGTGGGGGCATCGAGAGGCAATGAGAGCACCCAGGTCACAGCAGTCTGGGCTGACAGGGAGAGAACTCACTCAGGAAGCTGCCTCCCCTTCCCAGTGGGGCCTCCCACCCATCCCAGCACTGCGCCTGTGGGCCATGTTCCAGCCTGGCCCACAGCCCCAGTGACCATGATGACCACCACCATGGCTCCCTGGTACACAGAGACAAGACATAGAAAACTGCCTGCACCGCACCCATCCACTAGGGGTACTGCTGAGCCCAACACTATGCCACCACACCTGTGCACCAGGGCGCTGCAGGGTCCTGAGAGCTCCTGCACACAGTCAGAGCCCCTGCACACAGTCAGAGCCACTGTGGAAGGGTCCCTAGTGCAGGACCCCAGGTCTGCCAGGCTCAGTGATGCTTCCTCTCCCAGCTTCCATCAGTCTTCCTCTGAACTCTTAGCTTGAATCAGTTCTGCACAGGCAAGGTGGCCAAGGCCAAGGCCTCAGAGGCACAGCCTGTCTCCAGGCCCCACAGGAGGCCCCACCTGCAGCACAGTGTGGGCACAGGTACTCTGGCATCTCTCAAGACACAACCAGGAGGCTGGGGCTCTCACACGGGCACCCCAGGGCAGAGGAAGCTGACACTCACCTGAGACAGATCTCCCCTGTCTCTGTGATGTTGGGATGCCAGATCCTGGTCAAGCACTTCACTTTGGGAGGCTGCAACAGAGAGAACCCTTGTGGTGCAGATGGTCTCCCCAGACCGTCACCTCCAAGCTGTCTCAGCCTTGTCCCAGCTGCTAGAACCCGTGAGCATCTAAACACCCTTGTTTGTTGGGAAAAAATAAAATTCTGGAGAGTAAGATTTGGCTTCAAACATGAGTGCTGCAGCCACTGAATGTGGCTGGGGTCTGGGGCTGGCTGAAACTAGCAGCACAGGGGCTGGCTCCTGTGTGCATGCTGCTGGGCCACCATCAGACTGTTTTCTTTTCTTTTCTTTTTTTGAGAGTATCGCTATGTACCCCAGGCTGGTCTGTTCAGTGATTCTCCTGCCTCTGCCTCCAAGTGCTGGGATGACAGACATGTGCAACACACCTAGCCAGGTTATTCTTTTCTAGTGATAGGCTAAAAGGCCAGAGGACGTCAGGAGGAACACACATATGGATGTTCACATGTGGACCTGTACTATATATCCACAGTAAGGAAATTAGGGGCTGAGGAGATGGCTCAGCGACATAGCGCCTGCCTGATAAGTGCTACATCCTGAGTTCGATCCCCAGCACCACAAAAGGAAAGGAAAGGAACGGAACAGAACAGAACGGAACAGAAAATCATTAAGCTGAGCAGGCCACATGCTGCCTATCAGCAGCTTGTGCTAAGATGCATCACTGAGCCTAGCCACACCCTCTGGGTCCCAACCCGGGTGTGGGGAGCTGTCAGAATCTTCAGTTCAGTGGTCCCCCACCCAGCTCTGAGCTTTCTCATTTTCTCCCCACAATTCCCTCAGCCCAATTCTTCATTCACCGGCCAGGCCAATCTGCCTTCCATTGAGCAGGTTCTCACCCCACACATCCTGTGTCACTAAAAAACTCCTATCCGGTTCTGGGCCACATCAGAACTTGAATTTCTCTTTAAGCTGGGCCAACCTGAGCCTCTTCCTCGCTGTTGCCATTTCCATCCTCCCTCAGGATTCCCATCCCTTAGCTTCCTGTCATCTGTTGGTCAGTCTGCTACTAACCCTCAAAATCTCTGTCAGCTCTCTACACTCCACTCAGCTCCACGATGGCATTTGGCTTGACAGCTACTGAACAGAGTCTGGAGGGTAAGCACACTCTGGGGATAAACTACTTATCGCTTAGCAAGCCACATTCCCTCAAAGTCTAAAGCACATTTTATATACTTCTAGAATTCTGGCCTTACACCATAAACAAAACTAGTGACTCAAAATAAAAATGTCTTTCTTACTTGCCAAGTAAGAGTTGCATAAAATATACAGGCAGACTGCCTAGCACAGAATATGCATTAGCCTCTCTGTGTTAAACTCAAATTCTGCTGATGGGTGGCATTTGGCACAAAAGCAAGAGGGGCTTATGTTCAGCCTGGTGTTCACAGGGCTACCACTAGCAGGCACAGCCAGGCTGGGGTGTTGGGCTGAACACGCTACTCACCACCATGTTGTATGCATCAGGAACTTCAGTTTCAAACTGAAATTTTCCACCCTGGTAGTAACCCTCATCTGTCAAAAAACAAAACAAAATTCCTTTTGAGACTGAGCCAGAGACAGACAGACAGACAGACAGACAGACAGACAGACAGACAGACAAACAGACAAACAGACAAACAGACAGAGACAGGGAGAGAGAAACAGAGAGAGAGAGAGAGAGAGAGAGAGAGAGAGAGAGAGAGAGCGAGAGAGAGAGCGAGCGAGAGCGCGCAAGCACAAGGGAAACTACAAGCAAATATTCAGGACATGGAAATGCGGAGAACCAAGAGAGTAGAACCAGGACTGCAGAGCCCTGCCCCATGCCCCTGGCCACCTTTGGCCCACAAACCCTCACTGACAAGCATGCTCCACCAGGGTGAAGGTGAGGACTCTTTCAAGACTGGGCCCTTTCACCCCACTGTCCAGCTCCCCACAGAGGCCCCCACCCCACCTCCTGGCATGCTTGCCCAAGTTGCTTCTCCCTCTGCCAGAGGCTGGTCTCCCACAGGAATGTCAGTTCTCAGGGACCAGGACCTGCATGATGCCAGGTTCTCAGCTGAGGTCTGATGCACCCACCCACCCTCTTCCAGGCAGGCCTCTAGACTGGTAGACTCCTGACTGGGGGACACATGAGGAGTGGGGGTACACAGAGAACCAGAAAGAATCAATCACACCTCAGCAAGTGCTCAGAGCAGCTTCAGGATAACCAGGCATGCAGGAGGCTGTACAGGCCCCCAAATCTGCAGACTGCCCAGGCAGCCCTTCTTGACTAGACTAGGAAGTGGCTGCCTGGAAAACTCCCAGCTTCCCAAGTGGCACAATGAGTGGCATCTTTAAAATGACAGCTCGACCTCCCAAAACACTGTCACAATGCACACACCTGCAGTGTTCTCTCATGACTTCCCTCAATGTTTGTATCAGAGGGACACTGAACAGCAGGCTGCTAACACCACACACACCACTAAAAACACTACTCCCAAAAGCTTTGAGACCGTCTCATCATGTCATGGCCCAACAGTTAAAGAGGGTGCTACATGGACCCTACCGTTTTTATTCTTTGACAACCTAACACAAGAAAAATGTTACTTCTCTTTGATTTTTACATCCATCTGCTACATACTAGTGATGCTGAAATTTATATTAGGCAATTGGCCACTTGTCTGTTTGAGAAGGGGTTTTCACTATGCAGTGCAGGCTAGCCGTGAACACGCTTTGTAGCCCAGGCTAGTCCTGAGTGCAGGGATTACAGGCATGTACCGTCACTCCCAGCATCTCTTTTCTTTTTCAGTAACTGAATTACTTTAACTGTCAACTGAGATACTGATCTTTTGAGTATCAATTTTTTTTAAAGCGCTCTTAAGAAAGTTCACCTTTGTGTTTTATACACAATAAGCAGTTTTTCTTAGTTTGCCTTTCAATTTCATTTGTCCTGAATGCTAGTTTTCCATTTGCGGGGGGAGGGGGGGAATGTTGTTTTGGGGTTTTGAGATAGGGTCTCACTATGCAGCCCAAGCTGGCCTCAACTTGCTATGCAGCCTAGGTTGTCCTCAATCTCACAGCGATTCCCCGCTCCACCCTCCCAAGTGCTGGGATGCCAGGCGTGTACCACCATGCCTAGCTAGTTTTCCATTTTTAGGAAGCCAGTCTTTCTTCATGGGCTTTGTCTTTGGACTCATGCTTTAAAAAGGTCTTCCCAACAAGATCACACAAAAGCCCTCCTGTGTCTTCTGGTAATTTTGTGGTTTAGCATATTACATTTAATCAGCCAATTCGTTCATCCATTATGCAGAATGAAACGGTATCGGTTTTCTAACTGGTTTAACCACCCCTACAGGATTTATTATTCTGTTCTGCCCCCACTTTATCTGCTATGTATATTTCTACTTCTTATAAATACCTCTGGATTTGTGGCTGACAACAGTCTTTGGAAATGACACCAATTTAGAAGAATGCTTAAATAGCTGAGAACTTTCAAGTTAAGATGCACCTTAAAAGAAAAGCAAGAGCATTCAGGAGCTCTGCCTGAGTTTCCAGGTGTGGCAGCCCTAGGAAGCCCTTGCCCAGCTCCAGGGACACCGCCTCGTGTGAACAGCAGAGCCACACTTGCCCACCCGAGCCTGTAGCCCTGGCCTTGCTCTCTGGTGCCCACCGTGGCTCAGAGCCTGACTACCCTGCGCTGTCCTGCAGCTGTCTGCAGGGCTGTGCTCCCCAGTCATGCGGCACCCTCTAGCTCCCTCTTCAGTGCCCAGGTTAGGCTCCCTCTGCCTCAGCTGCCCATCAGCCTCGGAGATGCCATCCCAGAGAAGCCTCAACTCATAACGGTCCCTTAACTCACTGCAAACAAGAGCAGGCAGCTCTTTCTTCCCGTTCACGCTGCAGCAAATCTCCAGGAAAGCGCCAGCTTCCAATCTGCTTCCTTGCCTGGGGCCTGCCCGGAGCCCCCCCATCAGGCCTACAGGTGGAGGCGGTGCCCAAGGACTGTCCCGGGCTCTCACTGACCCAGGCAGGCCTGCAGCCCCCACCCCTCAGCCCTGGCAGAGGCCAGCTCACTCCACACATCCACCCCATTGTTCACAACCCTGGTGCAGGCATGGCACACCACATCAAGAGCAGCCGGGCCAGCTCCACGTTGCCGCTCGTGGCTGCAGGCAGAGCCGCTCTCATCCTAGCAAGCTTGGGGCTGCAGTGCAGGAGGGAAGGGTTCCTGGCGCCCTATAGAGGGCTATGCTCCCCTCCACTGTGCTTTGCAGCCCTTGTCCTCCTGCCTCTGCTGAGCAGAACACCGAGTGGGCATGCCCAGCTTCCCATACTCCCTGCTCATCGCAGACTCTCCTCTCCAATGCATCTGGGTGCCCACTTCCCCATGTTCCTGCAGTGTCAGCGACAGTGCTCCAGAGGCCAGGTCTCCTGCCTGCTGCCCGCATCACCACCTCTCTCCCCTCGGGTTCACCTCATAGGGCTGTCCCTCGGCTGCACACTCCGTTCCAAGGCAAGTGGGAGCATCTGTGCAAGGTGCCCAGACGCCACAGGGCAGCCCTAGCATGTGGTGCAGGGCCATTGGGTGCAGCCTCATTGAGGTTCAAAGCAGAAGGCGCTGCCAGAAGCAGCCAGCGGGGGGGTTGGAGGGTGGCCAGGGGTAGGGGTCACTGAGAAAGCTGGTATTGGCACCGTTCCTCTTGTGAAAGCAGCAGAAGATGCAAGGGGCCAGGAGAGCCATCTGAGGATGGGGCCATGCTTGCCCACCTATAGCCTCAAGGGTTTACATCCCTTTTCTGGAGATGCCAGGGCTGTAGAACACCCCGTTTCCAAGGACAGGTTCTGCTATCAGCCTTGCCCCAGTGTTCTCATCTCTAAGTACTCGGTAGCAGACCAAATTTACACAGGTTCTCCAGCCCTGTACAGAACCTCCACACTGATAAGGAGAATTTTAAAGTTCCTGAGCACATGTCTGAAGTTAGGGTTTATCCTGTCATGTAAAACTTCCTACGAAGGGGAAATGAGGCCACAGGCCAAGGACTGTGTACCGGAACTCAGTAAGGACTGCTTCCACTTCTGAGCCAGCGGCCAGGTCCTCACTCCCAGTGCCTCACTCACTGCCCTCCCCGCAACCTCACTAGAACAATGCACAAACTCCCTGCTTCTGTGCGTTTCTCTTTTTCCGCCCACCTCAGGTCTGAGCCATAACCTGAATGCTACACCTGCCCAGTGATGGCAGAGAGGTCTGTGCACAGGCTGCCTCAAGAACCGCGCTGCATAGCGAAGCTCAGCCAGCCAGCCCCAAACTGACCACGGGCTCGCCACTTCTGCCTCCCCTGACCATGGATCATCTGTGCAAGGCGCCCAGACGCCACAGGGCAGCCCAAGCACACAGTGCAGGGCCATCAGGTGCGGCCTCACAGGGGTGACCTGCTGACACCAGCTTTAGACAAAGCAGCCCTCACCCTTGCTTTGTCATAAATCCTACAGCAGTTTTCATTCAAGTTTGTATCTTTAAAGTGACTGACACACTGACCTTTAGAACAGACTCAGTTCCCCCTAGGGATACTCTGAACACTTCAGCCTTCAGACAGCACCCGTGCGCGGCCAAGGACTGAAGCTGGTGACTCTCCCTTGCTGGCACCTCCTTACCAACATCAGTGCATGTCTTTCTCAAAGAATGGCTAGACTTCTGAGAACCTCTACTTCATCTCTTCTTCCTCCTTCCCTGTCCACCTACTGCAACATCAACTTCCTGCCACCCGCTGTGGCTGCTAGCACGGCAGAAACCTGAGAACTCCACAGCTGTACCCTAACTAGAATAGCCACAGCCCTGCCCTGTGGTCTGGCTGGAAGACAGGTTGTCCTGAGCAGCCTGGAGAGCAGGCCCTTGTTTGTTCCCTGAGGACAGCTGGCAAGCTGTGCTTGGATGCCCCACCTGACCCAAGTGCTGTGCACATGTTAGCTAGTCAGTCCTCCCAGAGTCCTGCCGGGCCCCTGCTCTGGAGGGGGCTGTGACTGGCAGTCTCTGACACTCTGAAGCAGGAGGGAGACTGGAGCCCCCACTCCGCACCATTCACTATTGGTGGTCCAGGCTGCTCCAGCCGTTGGACTCCACAGTTACAGCAGTGTGTTCTGAGCATCTCCCATCTTCATACAGCAGTTCTTATGCAATGTCTTAAATACTCTAGCAGTAAGGACAGAACAACACTGATTACCTGGGGTTACGGTTAGCTGAAAGCAGTGTAGCTTGTTTGGATCAGGAAAATGCACTTTACATGTACCTGCAAAAGAAATACACATCAGCAAGCTGGTGGCAGCAGACTGTGTGTGCGCATGCCTGAGCTCCCCTCAGGCTCCCAGGCAGACCAGCGCTTTTCCATTTGTCCCTCCCCGAGGGATTTTTTACTAGTTAATTCCAAACAGAGACACTTTCCTTCACCTCTTAAATGGGACTAAAAATAGACTTTTCCACTCATATCAAGAACTCTCCATTTTATCTTGAAAGGAGAGTTACACCCCAGGATGTTGTGGGCAGCTGAGTTAGACAGAAATATTATAGGCAGCTGACAGGGCTGGGCTCTCAGAAAGAGCCAGTATGTTAGACAAGATACCTTGCAACTGTGGGAGAGACACCTACGCTGTGGGCCAGACCTCAAGACAAATATCACATACAGACTCCCCAAGGATAAACATCAGGGAATGCTGCTCTAAACAGGCCCCTATCACCTTGAGAAAGCCAGGAAGAGTCACCAACCCAACACCCTGCAAAAGAAACACCAGTTCTACATTAGTGCCCATTGGATCCCAGATTAAGTCCATTTTACCTGAGTAATTGTCATTGTAATCTTATTGGTTGATTTTTCCCTCTTCATGCCCACTTGAGTTCCTACATTTGACACCTTAGACTCACAGCATGAATTCGCTCTATGAAATCCCTAGAAAAGGCAGGGTCCTTGGCAACCCACTTGGGTCCCCTTCTGTCCCTCAGATAGAAGCAATAAATACATCCTGCTCTTAACCTTTGTTATTCCCAAAATTGATTCCGTTTTAGAGAACACAAATGCATCCCAGCTATCTTTCATCTTGGGAGCTTCTTTCTCTTATACAAGGAATAACTGGGCGGCATGAGACAGTGCTGGGTGCTGCTCCAGTGACGGCAGGAGCCCACAGACACGCCTCCAGCCCAGCCTGCAACAGCCTGGCTTGCTGCTGAGGGCCTCTGCAGGCCTGGACAGTGACGTTCTGGGCCCCTGGGCCCTGGCAGGGAGCCTGGTCGGACATGCAAGTTTCCTGCAGGACCACAGAGGCACAGAGGTGTGGTGAGCACTGTGGGGTGGACACTTGCAGGCTGGCAATTTCAGTACTGTGTACAACTCGAAAGCAGCACATTGAGCTCTTCAGTCCATCTGCTAACTTTAGTCCCTCTGTTTACTTGGTTTCTGTTCTGTTTTTGAGACAGGGTCTTGCTGTGTCTTACAATGGCTTTGAACTCCCCATATGGCGAGGCTGACTGGGGTTACGCTATGTACCACCACTCCTGCCTTGTTGAGCTTACTTCTAAGTCCCACTGAAAACATGTGCTAAGTTTCACAAGGCAGAGAAATTCCAGCAGAATTAGCAGAATTCAAACACTGACTCAGAAACAACCTCAGAGGCCCCCAATCAGAAGAGCTGACGAGATCATAAGCCATGACAGATGCACCAAGTCCACAATGGCCACAGGCAGAGGGTGTGCACCCAGTCAGCACCCATCTCCTGACTCTGTCCCTCCTGCAGGCTTATTTCCAGGTCACATACAGGACAGACGTGTGGACCTGAACGAGCCAGGACTGCAGGGGGCTTCTTCAGGGGGACAGATAGATGGACAAGAAGTATTTTTAGAGGATCCACTGCCACCTCCCTTACTTTATAAGGAAAGAAGTTTGAGACTAACGAGTCCAGGACTTACCCCCAAGTCACACAGCCCAATCAGCCAGGTGTGGTGGCACACACCTGTCACCCCAGAACTCTAGGAGGCTGAGGCAAGAGGATCACCAAGTCGAACCCTTGCCTGGACAAGTTAGCAAGACCTTGTCTCCAAATGGAAAATTAATAAAGGACTGGGGACTTAGCCCAGAGCAAAAGCCCTAGGCTCATTCTCCAGCTCCACTCTTCCATCACAAACCCCAAAACTACAGGAAGGGCAGTATTTGTACTTGATCTCTGTAACTCTGATTTGGCAAACGTCACATTTCTTTATGACATATATGTAGGGAGAGCAGACAAGGAAGGCCTGGCAAGGATCTCAGTGAGCTGAGGCTAAGGCTCCCCTCTGAGAAGGGCGACTCCACTCCCTACTCTCTCATCACAAAGGAACACCGGGAGCAGCCCGTCTGAGAGAGACTGGCCCATCAGGATAAGGAAGTTATCACTTCCCTGGCAAGGGCAAGGGCCTGAGTTCAATCCCCCAATCCAAAAAAAAAAAAAAAAAAAATCATCAAACTCCTAAGAAACCCCAATGTTTTAAAGTTTAAGAACAGATAAACCCTAAAATACAAAAGGTAAGAAGTCAGGTTTTTGTCTTAGCTCAGCTTAGGAGCTGTATTAAAACTCAGGATGAAGCCCCTTCACCACAGGCGACAGCTGCTCGCAGACCAAGCAGCTCTGTCTAGCCCCGAGTCGGTTCACTGGGGTAGGAAGCTCTCTGAACTCCTGCGTATGGAGCTGCCTCCTAGCTCGGGATAACTATCAAACAGCAGGGCCACAAGGCAAGTGATTTTGTCTTCACAAATATTTTAGAAGGATTGTTATGCAGATAGTAAATATTTAAGTCTCTGGCAGCTTGTTTCCTTTGTAGAATAATGAACTTCAGACTTCTGGAAAACACAGCTGACCTTGTAAGCTAGTTTAGGTTTCCTATGTTTCCAGGAAGGAGGGCAGAGAACAAGAGGCACGTTAGCATGTCGTCATTTATCTGAAGCCAGTCACGAAGTTGTTTTGTTTCATGCTAGTGGGGCGAAGCTGTTTTGTTTCACGCTAGTGGGGACAGAACCCTGGGCTTTCTGGCTATATCCCCAGACAGGATCTTGCCAAACTGCTAACTTGCAGTGAGGGGGGAGGGGGGAACCTATGCTTGAACTTTAGATCCTCTTGCCTGGGCCTCCTACAGTGCTGGGATTGCAGCCACGCATTACAATCCCCAGCTTTCAGTTGTTTTGTTATTTTAACTACACTCTATACAGGGGCCAGGGAGATGGCTCAGTGGAGTAAGCGCTTCCCTGGCAAGCATGAGGACCTGAGTTCAATCCCTGGTTCCACAAAAAAAAAAAAAAAAAAAAAAAAAAAACTACATTTTATGCTTCCCAAGAACAGGTACTCATCCTCAGGACCCAGCATGATGCTGTGCCCTCTCCACCTTGCAGACTGGCGCTGCGCTGAGCAGTCTGGAGTCAGAAAGGCTGCACACTCATCCAAGTTCTCCCACTTGCCCCCAGCCCAGGACCCACCTAGAGGCAACCACGCCCAGCTACCACCACCCCCTATCCCCCACCCCCTCCCGCCTCTTGGCTCCTGCCAAACCAGGAGGGGGTCACAGAAAGCTCTAATACAATACACTGCAGCAGCCCAAGCTTTCCCACTCTGGTGACTTTAATTGTTTCTGGCAGGGCTAATTATAGGAAAAGACATTCTGATACCCATCACACAAGCACATGGCCTAGTAAGGGCTTTCCATGCATGGGCTGCAGTCGGCCGTGTGGCTGGGGCAGGAGGGGGGCACCCATGGATGTGAGGGCCACGGCCCTACCTCAAACACAAAATCCTTTCTGGACCAATGGCAGTATGAGTGCACACTACACCCAGAAACACTACAGAGCTCTGTTCTCATTATGCCCTCCAAAAATCCCTTTTATACAAAATTTAAAATGTCTAACATTAAAAATACAGGTTTTGCTATGAAGGTCATTAAGACACAAAACAAGCTTTTTTCATGCAATTCTATATAGCGCTTAATTTTGACTAAGGATACTATACTTACAAGGTAAATTAGCTTCAAGTTCTGCAACCTCTGTGGAAACAAAGAGACGATGGTTAATGTTACTCTTCATAACATTATAGCTCTAAATTAGCAATTTTGGGCCCAGCAAGATAGATCAGTGGTCTAAAGTGCATGCTTAAGCAAGTGCACAGGGACTGCCTTTTGATCCCCAGCACCACATGCCATACCAGCCCTGCCCCCCCAGGGGGGGGCAGGGCCAGCCACAAATAAATGAATAGATAAATAAATAAGCAAGCAAGCAATTTCTTCTCAAATACAGAAGAAAAAAATAAACTGCAATGAAATGTAATCTGGAGTTTGTACTTTAATCCCATGATGGTGATCCTTTTAGAGCGCTCAATGACAGAAACACCTGCTGCAGCACACATGCTATAGGCTCTCCACCACTCACCCACAGGCTGCTTTCAAATGCACCCAGTGAACTGCAGACGCTGACCAATACAGCCAAAGACCCCTGAAAATTCACTTTAACATTAATGAAAATTGTATCAAGTAAATAGACATTTCCTAACGGAGCAACCTGCTCTTCTCAAAATGTGATCTTTTATGGTAATAACAATAAGCTTCTCTTCTGGAGGGTGAACAACCTGTTAGCAGACCAAAAAATAGAGAAAAAAGAGGGCTGCAAGGAAAGCCAACATTTTGGCCCTAGCCTTCCAAGGTCAATTAAGACTCAGGACATATGAGAACTTGTACTGTAACACCATGTAACTCAGTTGTGTCCCAAATTTTCTGATCAAGGAGATTATCAAAGAGAAAAGTGATCGATGATGTAGAGTGTGCCTAAGGAGAGTCATATGGAGAGAAAACATTCTCTCAGGCTTTCACAGAGAGCACAATGGCCAAGCAATGGCCATGACTCATCCACATGGCTGACAGTGACAAAGGATCTACAATCTGAGGTACAAGGTTTCAGGATAAATCCTGAAAGGATTTGACTGACCTTATCAGATCCAAAAGCTACAATTCTTGGGGCGGGGGAGATGGCTCAGTGGAATAAGCGCTTCCATGGCAAGCACAAGGGCCTGAGTTCAATCCCTGGTTCCACCAAAAACAAAAAAAAAGAAAGAAAGAAAAAAGAAAGGCTACAATTCTTGTTGCATAGGTCTTGCTTTATCTTGGTCTTAACCATCCAGCAGAAGAGTATAAAAACAAAGTACAAGAAATAAAGCTATGTTGTTATGTTGAGCTGTAGGAGACTCAGGTCAACAACTTCTGACATTGTTAGTCAAGCGGAAGACCCAATACTATTATGGACTACTGGACTCTTTTGGAATATTTTGCTGAGTTCACACACCTATAATATTTGAATGATGGAACTAAACAAAAGAGGGGACATAGATGAATGTCCATTTTGTATCTGTGTATTCAAAATGGTTAGGATAGCTATATAGCTACATTCTCTTGATTCAAGGAATAGAGGGATTTGTTCTAATAGTGTTTGTAAATAGGATATCATGTCTGCATTTTGTAGAACAAACAACCACTAGGAAGGCAGTATGCAATGTGTTAATTATTGGAACTGTCCTACCAATTTGATTTCCAACTGTCTCATTGCTATTTGTCAATAAAATCATGGAAAAAAATTTAAAAATATAGATATAAAAAAAGAGTTTTTTTTTTTTTTTTGCCTCAGTTGATGATCTACATCGTGGGCTTGGAAATATCTTCTTTCTTCCAAAAGAAGACTTTTGTAGAGCCCTAACAAATAAAACAAATAAACATGGGAATGCTCTAGCTTAAGCCTGGGTAGAGAAAGGAGCTTCCCATTTGCTTCATTTTGGCACACCCAAGGCACACCCAGAGAAACACAGGGCTTCCATGTTCATCCTCTGAAAATCAGTGATCTCTCCTGACCTGATGCATAAACCAGATGATGCCACTGACTTTGACTGACTGTCCAGGTGACTAAGTCAAATGTAGATAAACTGATAAGACCAAACAACTCGAGCCAGGATTTCCTTCATGCAATCAGTTAAAAATCTATTTTTTTGGGCTGGTAAGATGGCTCAGTGGTCTAAAGCACCTACTTAGAACAAGCTAAGCTAAGCAAAGCACAGCACAGGGACCGCAGTTCGATCCCCCAATACCACATGCCAGCCAGCCCCGCCCCCTGGTGGGCTGAGCTGGCCACACACACACACACACACACTAAATAAATAAATATTTTAAAAAACGTTCAAAACTTAAAAAAATCTATTTTTTTTTTGGGAGGGGGACCGGGGATTGAACTCAGACCCTTGCACTTGCCAGGGAAGTGCTTATTCCACTGAGTCATTTCCCTGGCCCAAAAATCTAAATATTTTAAGTTAATAAGATTTATTTTAATCAGAGTACTAATTTCTCACCTTAATGTTACATATACATTAGAAATCAGGAAGTACACAGTGTTTTAAAGTGTTTGATAACAGATTTCTTTATTCCAATGAAAGATAATTGAATAAATATTTAAAT